CTGGAGGAAAGTGCTGAGAGTGCCTTGGACTGCAAGAAGATCCAACCAGTCCATCATCCAGGAAATAAAGCCCGACTGCTCATTGGAGGGAAGGATACTAGAGACAAAGTTGAAGTACTTTGGCCACATCATGAGGAGACAGCAAAGCCTGGAGAAGACAATTATGCTGGGGAAGGTGGAAGGTAAAAGGAAGAGGGGCCGACCAAGGGCAAGATGGATGGATGGCATCCTTGAAGTGACTGGACTGGGGGTGGTGACGGGGGGTGGTGACAGCCAACAGGGAGCTCTGGCGTGGGCTGGTCCATGAGGTCACGAAGAGTCGGAGACGACTGAACGAATGAACAACAACAACATGTTGGACTTCAGCTCCTAGAATTCCTGATAGTTGGCCAAGCTGGCTGGGGCTTCTGGGAGTTGCTGTCCCAAAAACCTGGAGGACCAAGGATTAGGTTTGACTCTAGAGCAGGATACTCAAATTTTTTCAGCTGCTTAGCGCTTTTTAGTTTCTTGTGGAGCCTTAATAAATGTTTATATATTATATTCTATATCATTTATATGTATCAGGCAAAGGCAAACTTTTTGACCAACATAAACTCAACAGTATTTTAGTGGAAGACCCCAGGGGCCAACCAGTCCAACCCTCTTCTGCCATGCAGGAAAAGTACAATCAAAGTACCCCCAACAGATGGCCACCCAGCCTTTGTAAAAACAACAACAACGATAGCAGAAACCCCAGGGGCCATCCACTTCAACTCCCTTCTTCCATGCAGGAAAAGCACAATCAAAGCACCCTCTGAGCAATGGGAGGGAAATACGGTTTCAGAAGCAAGGAAGGCCAAGAGAAAAAGGCTTTTGTCGGTGAGGGAGTGGGGAGGAGCAGGAAAGAGGAGGGAAAGCTTGCGGGGGAGGAGGGAACCATGGAGCTCCTCAGTATGCTTTGCGGAACCTCAAGCACTCCACGAAGCACACTTTGGGAACCATTGCTCTAGAGGAATATTATGCCTTCTAACTTCTGTTGAAGAAAATGCCATGGCACCCATGTCTGGATTGCCAGGCTGCTTCTGTTTATGGAAGCTCAAAGCAAAACAGCTCTGCACTGCTTTGTCTATTCCACATCTGTCCATATGATGACAGTAGGCGATATTTCTATATTAAACTACCTGCATTGTATCTTCCATGTACATGGTTTGGACAGATATTTCCTCTTACCAGTATCTCTTGATATCTTCAGAAGTTTCCTCTGCCATAGAGCCTATGAACATTGGCTATGTTAAAATGTTTAAAGCTTACAATATATCTAAAGCTAATCCGGGATCTAAATGAAATCAGAACTCAAACATGGGACTGGATTTAAGAGGTAAGAGCAGAATAGTTTTCAGCTCTGAACAAGATGATTTCTCTGTGAATGTAGTTTCAATACAGAGGCATGGGGGATGCCGTGCTTTTTACCACTCAAGGAGAATTTGATTAGTAAAGATAGCAATCCACTGAGCTTCTTTCAGCCTCTGTGCCACTCATCTATATCACATCTGATAGCTTTTCTTTTGGGAATTCTGACTTGAATGAGCCCAGAACTGAGAGTTATTTCTTTTCTGGATGCTGCCTCTGATAAGCACAGTAAGGACAAAAGAGAAAAGAGTAATTACAGCAGCTTTTTGTTTATTTGAGTCATGGGAACATAGGCTTTACTTTCCCATTTGTAAGATTATGCACCAGAGCAGAAAATGTAGATACTTTTCAAGTCAGAGCATTGCTTCAAGTTGTAAAAACCATGTTCACTTAGTAAATTACATTATCTTATTTTTTCATAATTGAATGTTTCTATATCAATAATTTGGGCAACTTATAGATAAGAGCTGTATATATCATTTATGATTAACTGGGGGAAGGACCAACCAGAAAATGAAGCGGACAAATTTAATTAAACCCCTCTTCATGTGTGTAAGTGCCTTCAAGTCAAATGTTGACATATGGAGGCAAGGAATAATTACAGGTGTTTTGCCCCAGTTCCTTCCTTTTGAAATATAGCCTACAGCATCTGATATTATTTGTACTCCCATAAAAGTACTAACCAGGGTTGACTTTGCTTAACTTTCAACATAGACAGGGTCTGGTAACTTTAGGGCATTTACGCCCACTATTCTTTCTTCAAAATGCATTGTATCATTTGATTATTTTAATAATACCTACAAGTCCAAGGCTAAAGGGCCTGCAGTGATCTGCAAATAATGGATTCACTATCTGCTGGATACTTTGCGGAATAAATAAAGAACTGCTCTCTGTTTTAATAATGGTGATTTCTACCAAATATGAGCACACACCTAGTGTTGGGGAAGGAATGGAATTCTATAGACTTCAGGAGTCTTTCTCCTTGTTAGAGGTCTCTGGAGGGCAGAAACCTTGCATAAAAACCTCATGTTGTTTTGGGCAGCATAACTTCCTGAAAGTGAACAGGAAGTCCTATTTTGTATTTTCTCTATTAGCAAACAGCATTTTATAAGGAAGAGGCACCTGAACTTGTTTCCCACTGCTTGGAAAGACTACACATGACAAAATCTTCACTACAGTAGTATAGCCATGCTCAGCTTCACTCTCACATTTCCTGGATAACAATGTAATAAAGCAACAGTGCACACATCATCCTGACAGACTGACTGACAGACAGACAGGTAAAGTTTTAAAAGAACAAAACCCGTTCTGGCTCAGCAGGCCAAGTCAGTCTCTCACCCTCTCCTGGGAAGGGCTGCCTGAGTACACAAGGGCGCTGCCAAAAGCAGTCAGGGTGGAAAAGTTAGGACCAGTATCAAATGCTGCACCATGTGATCGCCTGGCTCCTGAAATAAAGCGAATATAGAAGAATCGGGTACACTCTAATGGCATAAAGCAGCACTGGATAAAGCAAGTGATACCTCCACTTGTCAACTATGTGGGTTTTATTTTTAAAAATAAATAGAAACTAGATCTAAATCCTCTGATCTCACAACCTTCCACGAAAGATTTTTGCTGCATCTCAAGGCAGAAAATAATTATGACATCTTAGGCTATACAGTGATGCTTTAGACTTCTTGCATCACCTGGTGATTTAAATACTTATATGAATGATCTACATACAACAGTATTATCTTGCTGTTTCAGTGGTCTTTGGGTTTCCTCTTTCCCACAGTGACCGCTTTTATATATCACATCCCTTGAAAGGTAACTTTATCAAATACAGTGGGTAATCAACATTCACTATAATTCAGGGTGTAGGACAGGATAATAAAAACAGTGGTTTTTAAACCAGAGAGAGCGCCTCTATAGGAATGACTAGATCTTCCAGTGTAACTCTAGGATCAATTTTCTGCCTTTTGTTAACCTCTGAGTCTCATAGGATGACTTAGATGTTCCTAGAGTGAACATACTAATCAAATCTGAGAACCATGAAATCCACAAAAGTCAAATCTGCAAATGTGGAGAACTGACTTTAATGTATTAAATCAGGATTGTACCTTTTAATTAGTGTTCCTGTCACATATGATATGATCAACCCCATAGATTCTAAGTGATGGTGCATACTTGGGGGGTCCTAGGAAAAACACTCCCAATATTCCCTCCTGTGCATTTAGAAACCCCATATGTTGTTTCATTGCCCAATCTGCTCCTGGCTCTGTCGTAGTATTTAGGCAAAACAACAAGCAATACTTGCCATTGTGGACAAGATAACAACCCTCACTCAGCCAGAGCAAACAGTTTCCTACCACTGTCATTTCTTCTGCAGCAAACAGGTATGCTGTGCACGCTTCTTCTGGCAAGGCTATATTTAGTAACACTCCTACTGGGAGCAATATAAAAACCTAACATAGGTATAAAATTCACCAGGCAAATTCTAGAAAATAAAAGTTCCCAAGATTTTTCATCTTTTTCCCATGCCACTAATTTTAAGTACTCTCTCTTTTTTTGTTACCAGAGTCCTTGATCTTTTTCCAGCTTCAGTGCTTATATCTATCAAAACAAGAAAGATAAGCAGGAAGAACTTTTGTCACATTTCAGACCCACCCAGTAATATAAATAGATTGTTTTCCACCTCCTGGTTTAGACAAAATATCCAGTATACTACAAAACAATTCTTAGTAAAATCAGAACACAATTAAGTGAAAAATTGTTCTGTTGCAGACCACCACCTAGTGGTAAGCAGTTTCTGCAATGATACCCATCACAGTATTATGATCAGCAATTAAGCAATTCATGACCCCGCTGCTTATATTCCCTTTCAGATTTACAACTTGCTTGGCTTCGAAATTGTGATGTCTATACATGGACCTTGTTCCTATGGAGTTAAGTTCAACCTGGGGTTGGGCAGTGACAATGTTTGCAGGAAAGTGACAGCAACAGATGCCCTGCATACAAGATAAAGCACAAATCGGGTAAGCTGGAGTATCCAGATTTAAGCCAATGTACAGCCTGATCCCAAGGAGAGTTATGTGCACCAAGCTGATTAAAATCAATGGGCTTAGGCACTCCTAACTCAGCATGAGGCTGAACTGCATATCTCAAATTGACTCAGACTAAAATACACCATTTAACAGGTTTATGGGACAGAATTACATAAACAAAGCTTCCTGACATGAAGAAATTATGTTTTAAGAGAAATGTATCTTGGTTCTGCTTCTGCCTGACATTTAGTATTGTTTTCAGCTGTCCCTTCACAGTACAAGAATAATTCCTTGCAGATTCTAGATTCCTACTGAAGAACTCTTTCATGCCATCTACATATTCTGGATTAATGACTATGGATAGCCATTTACCATAATTTTTTTAATGTTTTATACAACTTTCTCACCTAAAGCACTGAAGATGTTTTTTAAAAAAATAATTCCTTGTGTTCACCCACTATTTCTCTGACCATCCAATTGAAAATATGTAGCTACCTCAAGTCCCAGTTTTAGGGGGAACACGATATATAAATGTAAATCATTAATTTTTATTACAAAGGGGAAGTAATAAAATGAGAAGGCAGGCAATTATGGTAGTCCAAAGATCCTCTTCATTTCACTGAGAAATATTTTTGTACAGATATAAATGCTAAATGAGTACATATATAAAAGATAGGTAAAGTGCATTTACAAACCCATATTTGTTTTTAACTCCCAAGTCATCTGTTGTCTGTAGAAAAGTGAGCTTCTGCTACTCAGACTGAGCTTTCCATGTCACCGATTAGCATTCTGATAAGACATACAAAGATGTGTGATCCTGTTCCACTGTGTCAACAAATAAGTACAAAATAATTGTCATTCAGTACTTCAGATTCCGCTTTTAAAATAATGGCATAAACACATGTGGTTATGCATGATAAGCCAAGTTCAAAAACTGCTTTAACCAATGTGAAGAGCTGAAATACTTCCACCATAGCAGCTATATGTCTATTGTAGAAGTATTACCAGCTTTGATGTAGTTAATGTATTGCTTCGATTTTTAGTCCCTGTTCTCCCAGAATATATCTCAAAGTTCAGTAATTCAGATTCTTGCAGAACATAGCAAGACTCACACTTGGATATTATAGGCAGTGAAGTCTCTACAAATCTTTCCCTAAAAAGCTAGTCAGTGTGTACATGGAAGACTTTACCTAATCATCACACAAAAGTGACACCAGTTTCTTCACTCTTCTTGATGACCTTTGATCCTTCCTGCTTCCCTGAGGTTGTTTTTGATTTCTTAGCACATTCCTCCTTTTCAGCCTTGTATATTTCCAGTGCTTCAAAAAAAGCTCTTTGTGTCCATGGGTTTGGTGGGATTTCCAACCAAGGCTGAAATGCAAGTAATAGAAGCAAGATTTGATTTTGACAGAAGTGAAAATATACCCTTAATTTTTCCCGTCTCTTTGCAAATGCCCTTTAACAAATGATGGATTTGTGGTTCATTTCTATATAAATTATATGAACAGCACTTCACTTTCTTGGGTCACTTTCAAGACTAACAGATGTATTTTAGTATGAGCTTTCACAGATTAAAAATCACTTCTTCGGGTGTGTTATGGAGCTCATTATAAAAACCCCAGCTATATATGCAGTCACGTAGTTGTAAGATCAAAGTGAAATGAGATAGAGAAAATGACAGCCGGTACATTGTGTCATAAGCTTTGAAAGGACTGATTATAATCTGAATTATATTTTACTGTAACAATTTAGTAGTTTGCTATGGGATTCTGGTTAAGTACAGCTCAAAAAAGGAAGATTTCTAAGCTCTGGTACTTTATACTAACAGTATATGCCATGTTGAATCCCACCCATAGAAAAAAAACATGATAGAAGTGAAGTAATAATAATACATAATAAAAATAGTAGTGCAGTCCAGTAATCTTTATAACGCTCACCTAATTATTGTAACTAATTAAATTGTACCTTTTTACATCAAGATAATTCAGACAATTGCCTGATGATCTGTCCAAAGTATGATAGCTTCACTTTGATTATTCTGGTTAGTGAGATTCAGGTTTGATTTGGTGTAGGCTCTCCTACACATTTCATTGGGCTCTGCCTGCATCCTAGGGTCCAGCTAAACTGTAGAATTAATGCAGTATAACACCACTTTTAAGTGTCATGGCTCAATGGTACGGGGTTATGGGAGCTGTAGTTTGATGAGGCACCAGTACTCTTTAGAAGAGGAAGCTAAAGACTTTGGAAATCTACAGCTCCCACAATTCTGTAGTATTGAGCCACAGCACTAAAAAGCGCCCAGTGGTGCAATGGTTAAACCCTTGTGCTAGCAGGACTGCTGACCAAAAGCTCAGCAGTTCAGATCCAGGGAGCAGGGGGAGCTCTCATGTCAGCTCCAGCTCCCCATGCAAGGACATTAAAGAAACCTCCCACAAGATAGTAAAACATCACCCAGATGGCCCTGGGCAATGTCCTTGCAGATGGCCAATTCTCTCACACCAGAAGAAACGTACAATTTCTCAAGTCGCTCCTGACACACACAAAAAAGCCACAGCACTTAAAGTGGTGTCAAACTGCTTCAATTCTACGGTGCACATGCACCTTCAGTCTCCTGCTACACATAACCCACAATGCCATTTAAACACAAGTATTTACATGGTATTACTATTGCATTTTGTGAATCTCACTGGAAAAGATCATCCCCAGCTCCTCAGCCTGAATGGTAGCTGTGTGGACTTTTAACAGAATTTATATTCACCCGTAGAACTGCACCTACCACCATGTTAAGTGTGCATATGGCGTGCCTCACAACCTACACTGATATTTACTCAGATTTAAGTTCTACCCACAAAGGTTTGGATAATTACTATTCAATAAATGTAGTTAGGAGGGAACCAGCATGGCACAGTTTTTTGTAAGAAAATAATCCAGTAATATGGGTGCATTCACACCAGGCATGGGCAAACTTGGGCCCTCCAGGTGCTTTGGACTTCAACTCCCACAATTCCTAACAGCTTCAGGACCCTTCCTTTTCCCCCTCAGCTAGGCTTCCTGAGACTGTCAGGAATGGTGGGAGTCTAAGTCCAAAGCACCTGGAGAGCCTACGTTTCCCCGTGCCTGGTGTGGATGCAGCTGAGAGGGGAAAGGAAAGGGCCTGAGGCTGTTAGGAATGGTGGGAGTTGAAGTCCACCTGGAGGCCCTAAATTTGCCCATGCCTGACCTAAACCTTAGGATGAACTGCCTGATGGTAATAATAATAATAATAATAAGGAAGCTGATGAAACCATGGATCATCTCCTCAACTGTTGCAAGAAAATCACACAGACGGACTACAAACAAAGACACAACTCTGTGGCCCAGATGATTCATTGGAACCTATGTCAAAAGTACCACCTGCCAGCAGTAAAGAACTGATGGGATCATAAACCCACAAAGGTCGTGGAAAATGAACATGCAAAAATACTGTGGGACTTTCGAATCCAGACTGACAAAGTTTTGGAACACAATATACCAGACATCACGATTGTGGAAAAGAAAAAAGTCTGGATTATTGATGTCGCCATACCGGGTGACAGTTGCATTGATGAAAAACAACAGAAAAAACTCAGCCGCTATCAAGACCTCAAAATCGAACTGCAAAGTCTCTGGCATAAACCAGTACAGGTAGTCCCAGTGGTCATTGGTGCACTGGGTGCCGTGCCAAAAGATCTCAGCCGGCATTTGGAAACAATAAACATAGACAAAATCAAGATCTGTCAACTGCAAAAGACCACCTTACTTGGATATGTGCGCATCATTTGAAAATACATCACACAGTCCTAGACGCTTGGGAAGTGTTCGACTTGTGATTTGGTTATATGAAATCCGGCATATAGATCTCGTTTGCTGTGACATACTGTGCTTTTGTGTCAATAATAATAATAATAACTGCAAAAGGCCACCTCACTTGGATCTGCATGCATAACTTGAAAATATATCACACAGTCCTAGACGCTTGGGAAGTGTTCAACTTGCGATTTTTTGATACAAAATCCAGCATATAGATCTCGTTTGCTGTGACATACTGTGCTTTTGTGTCAGTAAAATGATAATAAACAACTTTATTTATACCCCACCACCATCTCCCCAAAGGGGACTCAGGGTGGCTAACATGAGGCCAAGCCCAAGATACAATACAGCATAATAAACTACAGAATGCAGACAACAAAAAATTACATCTGGATAAAATACTTACAATAGCTAAATAAAGCAAATTAACACAATATAAAATCCAACAGGTAAATGCTATTCAGTAGTGAAACGCTGCCTTGCACTAAAGTGGCCTTCTTCTCTGGAAGCTTTTAAGCAGAGGCTGGATGGCCATCTGTCAGGAGGGCTTTGATTGTGTGTTCCTGCATGGCAGAAGGTTGGACTAGATGGCCCCTGTGGCCTCTTCCAACTTTATAGTTCGATGAACATAGGTCACCGAAATATCATGACCATAGGCTCATTTCCTGACCTGATTCCCTTCCAAAGGTGCATCTACACCAGGCCTGGGCAAACTTGGGTCCTCCAGGTGTTTTGGACTTCAACTCCCAGCATTCCTAACAGCCTCAGGCCCCTTCCTTTTCCCCCTCAGCCGCTTAAGCGACTGAGGGGAAAAAGGAAAGGGCCTGAGGCTGTTAGGAATGATGGGAGTTGAAGTCCAAAACACCTGGAAGGAGGGCCCAGGTTTGCCCATACCTGTGTTGCCTTCCAGGGCTATAAGGTGAGATATCTCACATCTCGCGTGACTTGAGCCCGAGACCGCGAGCGTGAGAACTTGTGGGCGGGGCCTCGCTGAGGCAAAGCCCAAGCCAATGATAACACTCCGGAATAGCAGAAGTTCAAGCTTTTCCGCCTCCGCCGCCGGAAGTTATTGCGTGCGTCGTGACGCCTCCACCAACACAAGCCCGCCCGCTTCAAACATGGAGGCGGTGGCTCCACGTGTGTCCGCGCTGTCGGTCTACAAGACTTTCCTCCAGTCGCCAGGGCGGCCGCCGAGCCCAACACGCCGCGTGGCTATCTCAATCGGACCCCGAGGCCGCCAGAAGCGCCCCAGTAAGAAGAAAGCAGGAGCCGGGGGTATGCAGGGGGCAGCAGAGGCAAAGAAGCAGAGGCTGGGTTTGAAGCCTGCGTCGCCCTTGCGGGGAAAGAAGAACAAAAAGGTGATGGGACTTCAATTCCCAGAAGCCCCAGCCAGTTTGTCCGGCAGCCAGGAACTCTGGGAAATGAAGTCCAAAACACCCGAAGGGGCAGGGCTTGAGAATGACAAGGAATGCTCCCTGAGGCGGAAGAAGCGTGTGAGGTTTCAACTCCCAGAAGCTTCAGCAAGGCAGGAATTCTGGGAAATGAAGTCCAAAAAATCAGGGGAAGTGCTTAAGCGGCATAAAAGAAACCCCTTAAGGCGGAAGAAGGGCTTAGGACTTCAACGCCCAGAAGTCCCAGCCAGCCTGGCCAATGGCAAAGCATGCTGGGAAATGAAGTCCAAAAAATCTGAAGGGGAAACGCTGGAGAAGTGCAAGGGATGGTCATTGAGGCGCCTCCTCAAGGACTTGGAGAAGGTCCCTCACAGCCGCAAGCAGGCCGGCAAGCTTTTTGAGTGGGTCCTGGCTCCCATTCCCCCTCAGGACTTCTTTGACCAATATTGGGAGAAGAAGCCCCTCCTGATCCAGAGGCACAACCCAAGATATTATCGAGAACTGTTCTCCACCGCTGAATTCGATGCCATCCTTCGTGACCAGGATGTCCAGTTCGGCGTCAACTTGGACGTGACCAGCTACCAGGATGGGAAGCGGGAGACGCACAACCCGGTGGGCAGGGCTCTGCCGGCAGTCGTCTGGGACTTCTACCAGAACGGATGCTCCCTCCGGATGCTGAACCCACAGGCCTTCTCCTCCACCGTCTGGCATTTCCTCTCCATCCTCCAGGAGCTGTTCAGCAGCATGGTGGGAGCCAACACTTACTTGACCCCGGCTGGGACGCAGGGATTTGCCCCTCATTACGATGACATTGAAGCTTTTGTGATCCAGCTGGAAGGGAAGAAGCATTGGAGGGTGTACAGCCCCAGGAGGGAGGCCGAAGCGTTGCCTCCGTTTTCCAGTCGCAACTTCGACCAGATGGAGATTGGAGAGCCCATTCTGGAAACAGTGTTAGAAGCCGGGGATATGTTATATTTCCCACGTGGGTTCATCCATCAAGGCGATTGCCTCCCCGACGCACATTCGCTCCATATAACAGTTTCCTCCTACCAGCGAAATAGCTGGGGGGACCTGCTGGAAAAGCTCCTCCCTGCAGCATTACAGATGGCCATCGAAGAAGATGTGGAATATCGCCAAGGGCTGCCTATGGATTACCTGGAATACATGGGAGTCCTAAACTCGGATCGTGTTGATCCACGCCGAGCTTCCTTTATGCAAAAGATCAGTCGGTTGATAACAAAACTAACAGATTATGCTCCAGTTGATGCTGCCGTAGACCAAAAAGCAAAGTGCTTTCTTCACGATTGCCTTCCTCCAGTGCTGACTGAGAGTGAAAAGGCGTTAAGCGTATATGGTCACCCAGCACGGTGGGAAGATGGAAATGTTCGAAATGCTGATGTCCAGGTCAAGGGAACGACACGGATACGGCTGCTTCGGCATGGGATTGTCAGACTGTGCAATGAAGGAGATGCTGTTCTGCTGTATTACACAACTGAAAATTCAAGGGTGTACCACAAGGAGGAGCCCAAGTCCTGTGAAATAGAACCCGAATATGCAGAGAGCATTGAATTCTTGCTATCCTCATATCCCAAGTTTGTCAGTGTGGAAGCGCTTCCTTGTGCTACTCTGGATGACAAGATTGCCTTGGCCTCTGTTTTATTTGAGAAAGGACTACTGACTACTAAGAGCCCTCTACTGTCTGCTTGATGTGCTATAGATGATAAGAAAAGTTAGAGCATTTTTCTCCTATACTTACTAGTAGATTTAAGATACTCATCCAAATCTTTGAGAAGCTCCTGCGTGGCAACTGAGTTTGATCTGGAGAAACAAATGTAAACTTCGTTTCAAAAAAAAAGAAATACTGTAACACCACCTGCACATTAAACATTGGTCATTATTTTTGTATTTGAGTTGCAGGCCAAAATAAGCCACTGATGAATTTCATATTAATAAAGCTTATAATACATTTTAGACTATTTATACAGCAGGCCCTTAGTCTCTGCTGGGCTTTGGTTCCAGGACCCTCTGTGGATACCAAATCTGTACATGTTGAAATCCCATTATATACAATGGCATAGTAAAATGTCCCTTTCTCTTCTATAAAATTGCGAAATCAACGTTTGGATTTTATTTAAATAATATTTTTAAGCAGTGGATGCAGCATCAATTGATATGGAGGGTCAACTGTGTAACGTTTATGAAACAATTTATAGTTATGGGTGTGTAATACCTTTGTCCAAGGATAGTCACATTGTCCTGACTGATGGTGCCTTAGTTTGTGGCAGTGTGGCTTATTGTTATATTACAATAACAAGACATACCATACTCTTTGCTGACTGAATTACTGAGCTGACTAAACTGCAAAAATATTCCACATTTAAATGTAGCATTAACATTTTCCATGGAGTTCTGTGCCACCTAACTCTTGTCACAAATTGATCAGGCTTTGAATATATCCTTAGTGGCCTGTTTGCCATCACCAAGTACCATTTTAGGTCTTCCAAGCAGAGCCTCATCAAAAGAAGCCTAGTTACTCAATGATAAATTGGTAGCATCTGAGGAAATAAACTTAGGCTTCATCTATACTGTAAAATTAATGCAATTTGCCACCAATTTAACTGCCGTGGCATAATACTATGAAATCATGGGATTTGTTGTTTAGTGAGGCACCAGCACTCTGGCAGAGAAGGCTAAAGGCTGTGGCCAGTTTATCATTTAATAGCTAGACTTCTGCTGCATTAATTCAACAATGTAGGTGTATCTTATACCTCTGAAACTTGGTTCTTCCAGTCTTTAAAGTGCTACAAGGTCATTTCGGCTACAGTGAGAATTACAGTGAATAGTTTTAAGCTGTAGCAGTGGAAAGCCTACTTGCATGGCTGAAATCATGGCTCTTCAAGATATTATGGACATAACTATTTCAGTTGAGTGATTGATTAGAAATTAAAATATGCATCACAGTGATACCTAGCATACTGGAATGACTAAAGCACTTTGTACACAGATAACTTCCTAAATAACCATTACATCATGTTGGCTCTCCATTAGCAGAGACTTTAATATATTCACTGAGACACTTACTGAAGATAAAAGAGATGTTTAAATAGGATCTTACTCTACAGCCATATTCTAAAATTTTAGACTGATTAGTGTTAAAGATGCCTGAAGGTCTTTACAAAGGAAAAATGGAAAAAATAAACCCAAAATAAGGACTCTTTAACAGCCTCACTTTTTCTGCCATTCCTAATTACCAGTGAAAGTGACTTGAACAACAGCAAGGAAGACGTCCCGAATCTCTTTGTATGCAAAGATGTCTCCCCTCTCACGGTAGATGCGGTGGGCTTCATGCCATGTGTTCTTTGTAATCTCTCGAAATTTCAGCACTTTCTCAATCACTAAATCTTTTTGGCTTAATGTGGTAATCTGCATCAAAAAATAATGAAATAATGTATTTTATTGTTCTTTTTTATTACTAGATTGTAACTGCCATTTCCTAGGCCTTGCTTCACCCATAGACATTTTGACTCCATATGTAAACATGCAGATGGGATAGAGAAAGGATGTGTTTTGAAAAGTGGCTGCTGAATATTCTGAATTAGATCTTTAATAGATCTGAATCTAGTCATCTTAAACCTTTAATAAATCTAAATGCCCATGAGTTTACATATTAAAATATCACTACCTAATCACACATTATTTCAGTTTCTTTTGCAGGTACAGTAGAGTCTCTCTTATCTAACATAAATGGGCCGGCAGAATGTTGGATAAGTGAAAATGTTGGATAATATGGAGGGATTAAGGAAAAGCCTATTAAATGTCAAATTACGTTATGATTTTATAAATTGAGTGCCAAAACATGTTTTACAACAAATCGACAGAAAAAGCAGTTCAATACATAGTAGCGTTATGTAGTAATTACTGTATTTACGAATTTAGCACCAAAACATCACAATTTATTGAAACGGCTGTGGATCCAGGTGGGAGGCAGACTGCAGTGGATAATACAGAACGTTGGATGAGCGAAGGTTGGATAAGTGAGACTCTACTGTATTCATTAAAACACTGAAATAAAGTACTGACAAATTCCAAAAATGGGAAAATCCATGGGTAAAGTTATAAAAAATGTGGACATTCAAGTCAAGGCGTCTGCAATCTGTTGCTGTTTAGATTTACTGGACTGCATTTCTAGAATGGTGGTTGGGGAACTCTGTATTAACCTGTTAAGCCCTAATTCTCCCAAACAATACTTGTTTTATATAATCTTGATGCTAGAGCTAAATAGTAGCCCACCATGAAAAGAAAATCAACATGCTGTTATTCCATAACAGAATTGGAAATCAAGACCGCAATACCCCCAGGATTTACAAAGCATTTTTACTTAAAAGCAAACCGGAATTCTCTTGAACATAAAAAAACTAGCACACCAGAAAGAGAAGATTTAAAATCTGGACAGCTTTTATGCTAGCTTTCCAGATTCAGAAAGATGCTGGTGAAGAGCTGCATCCAAATATTGCATTTCTCCTTTTTAAATGTCTGAAAAAGATCTACATGTACATGAATGCAGCACGCAACATAGTGAGGATTTCTTGTTTGACTTTTCTTATCCAGCACCAATGCTCTTCACTCATATATAAGACTAAAAGTGATACTGATTGAGTATCCTGGATTCAAAATGCTTCAAACCAGAAATGTTTTGAATTTCTGAGGGTTTTTTATTTTGGAATATCTGTAAAGTTGGTGTACGGTGAACTATCAGAAAGCAACAGCGCCACTATCTCAACCACACATGTGGACTATTTTTGAGTATTTCAGATTTTAGAATCCTGAACAAAGACTGCTTAATCCGTGTTGATTTCACAGTTCTAACATGTTGGGAGTATGGCCCCTTCATCCCATCCTGACTCTTCTAGTTGCTCTTGTTATATTCCATGATAACACACATCTTTTCTTGTATGGTTCCTCTAGATTACACAAACATGGAGGCAGAGTTGCCAGAGGGATGCTCATAATCTTGCATATAGTTTTGCATACTTCCAAACCAGAGAAATCCAGATAGTTTAAATTTTACTTTTTCGTACCTTGTCCTTGATTTTCTGGATCACTTCTTGGTCCTCTTCCTGTTCAAAATTGAAAGTCTTCACAGCATGACTTACCTCCCTATATGGAAAGCAAAAGATAGTGTATTAGTTGCTGCAGAGATCTCCAAGTGAAAGTTAAACAACAAACATTGCTTGATAGCTCACTGCTATATGCTTTCCTTCTCACCCTGTGGGTTATTTGTAATGGTGTCTTTCTACTAACAGAAAGCAAACTACTTACAGATCAGACTCTCCAACTGTTCATATTGCCCCCCCCCCCCAATTCTACTTCACAGAGTACACTAAGCTTTGGAGGCAGATTTGATGGGGGTGGTTTAGAGACAGTTGAGAGGGAAGCCCCATGTTACATGAACAGAAGTCAAATTATATAAGATTAGATTTAACCTTATATTTATTTTGACCTCTGATAAATACATCTCCATAGTGCCATTATTCATCTTACATGCTGCCACAGCATAAGAAGTGTCATATATTATTACAATAGCATGTAATTTTCCATCTAAGAATGTTTGCCCTTTAAAACAAATGTGAGCAAAAAATACATAGCCAATAAGCTACATTTGGCATCCCATTTTTTTTTGAAGAGATCCTATAAATGCTGCTTTCTTTCTATCTCCTCCCTATCTTTTTTTAACCCCTTTTTGATGTTGCAACACAGCTGCATGGGAAAATCCTCCCCTGTAGATTATGGAGAGGGTTGTAATATACCCGTTGCATCTGTGGAAGTTTTTGTCCTGGTTTTTAGACCTTTAGACATATTAGAAGCTGACTCCACCTTCCTCCTTGCTTTCAATGGGTTTGAAGGAGCCCCTGGTGGTGCAGTGGGTTAAACCCTTGTGCCTGCAAGACTGAAGACCGACAGTGGAAATCGGTGGAAAGACAGGTTAAAGGTTTGAATTCAGAGAGAGCACGGATGAGCTTCCTCTGTCTGCTCCAGCTCCCCATGCAGGGACATGAGAGAAGCCTCCCACAAGGATGGTAAAACATTAAAAACATCCAGGCATCCACTGGGAAACATCCTTGCAGATGGCTAATTCTTTCACACCAGAAGCAACTTGCAGTTTCTCAAGTTGCTTCTGACACACACACACAAATTGGTTTGAAAGTGTAATGGGACCTGTTGACATTTGTGATGTGTATGTCTACTTGCAGGAACTTGTTGCTGAACAATCAGAAGTAATGTGTTGTCGAAGGCTTTCATTGCCAGAATCACTGGGTGGCCATACAGCCCAGAAAACTCACAGCAACCCAATAAGAAGTAATGTTTATAATACAGTGAAAGTTTCAGATCCAGCTTGATATTTTTATTTTTTTTTTGGGAGTGAATGGGGAATCATGCCTCCAGAAGTCCTTGGGGGTGCTCTTCTCTAAACAAATGCTTCTTCCTCCCATCATATTTTGGAAATATGGAACACCTTACAGCACCAGTCAGAGTAGAGCTCAGACCAAATGAAAAAAAGTTTTAAAATTTCTTTTTCCAATGCATGTTATATGGCTTCCTGCATTCCATGAACATAATCTACTGGATTTTCCTTGATTTAGGCTGCAAATCTACACATGTGTAACTGAAATTAAGTGCCACTGAGTTCAGCAGGACTTGCATTTGGTGAATGTTAGAAGCAGCCTTGTGAGCACACCGATGTATTTTCTTTAGAGTTACTTAGCATAGGGAAGGGGAAATTCAGATTGGCCAGGGAGATCCTACTGCATTCTGATGAAATCGGTGGAAAGATAAATATTGTTTGAACTTCAGGAATACAGTCTTTAAAGCATATTCTTAGAAGATATATTTGTGTTAAGTAGAAATGCTTTTTGGCGAAAGAGATGTCTTGTTGTTACTATTTTGCCACATTCAGTGGACTCCCTGAGGCAAGGACAACAAATATAAACATTTAAAATAATCCATATATATATATTAAAAAGTCAATACAATCCTTTCCATTTTTAATAAAACAGTTAAAATAGTTACATTTTTCTTTCATGTCAGGAGTGACTTGAGAAACTGCAAGTCGCTTCTGGTGTGAGAGAATTGGCTGTCTGCAAGGACGTTGCCCAAGGGACGCCTGAATGTTTCACCATCCTCTGGGAGGCTTCTCTCATGTCCTCACATGAGAAGCTAGAGTTGACAGATGGGGGTTCATTCTACTCTCCAGATTCGAACTGCTGACCTTTTGGTCAGCAGGTTGGCAGCTTGAATCCTGGGAGTGGGGTAAGCTCCCTCATGTTAGCCACCCCGAGTCTTCTCTGGGAAGATGGTGGTGAGGTATAAATAAAATTTATTGTTTGTTTGTTTGTTTATTATATGTCAGCTCCAGCTTCTAAAGTGAGCCAGCCCAACACCCTTATAGCAGAATCAAGGTGGTGTTTTGGGGAAAGCCTTTTATTTATCAACCATTTTTTTTCTATTTTAAAAGCAAACCACTGACTTACTCTTTAACCAGCTCATTCGGTTCCAGTATCAGTCTCTCTTGTAAAGTAGCCTGAACTGTTTCATCCTGCATGTTGAGAGTGACGATGCTGCGGCAGGCTTCCCTCCGGACCCCGGGATCCTCTTCATAATGAAGGGCCCAGAGAAGAAGGTCTTTGAGGTGAGAGCTGGGCTCACCTATCTGACCCAGAGCTGTCAGAAAAGAAAATTATCCATTTTGCGTCATTAAAATTACTTAAGTAAATTTCTAGCTAAAAAGGAGACTTAGGTGGGGACCAAAATGGATTTGATACTTATTTTCATATTTTACCTATTAACGCAAGATAGATTAAGAATATACTCTCTCCTGCAACAAGAACTGCAAATTCTTGTGCTATCTAAGAACATGTATGACAAATTAGGGGGTGTGTGAAAAAAACAAACAATAAATTGCACTATGTAACACAAATTTTGTTTGTAGGTTATAAATGCCATTTGCTAATTGCTTCTATCATAAAAAATGGGAAAAGTTTATTTTGCTGTAAAAACTTCATCTGAGATATTTTCCTTTACATTTCCCAAATTTCTATTTTTTCCATTGGAAACTAAAAAAAATGTACCTAAAAAGAAAAGTTTTTCAACCATTTTTGCACATTTATACCGTTAGATTTGAGATTAAAATCATAGAACCTGCAGATCTATTAGCACAATGGTTGCACACTTATATATATTGTGTATTTCGAAATTAAATGCAACTTTTCACTGAAGTGGAAGAAGGCAAAGGAATTTGCAACATTTACTTGTTTTTTGGAGCATAAAACCTCATTAAATCCATGCTGTATCAAAATATTCTGCTAGCTTAGTAGTATTGTATTGCTCACCTTATTAATTTTTACCTTTGAGGAAATCAAGCCACAGTTGACTACTTTATGCAATTTACAGGCGAATGTTATACTCCTCAATTTAAGACTGAGAGCCCTTCCACACTGCCCATTTATCCCAGGATCTGATCCCAGATAATCTGCTTATCCCAGGTTATCTGGCAGTGGGGACTCATATTTCCATTTAAAGCAGATAATCTGGGATTAGATCCTGGGATAAAGGGCAGTGTGGAAGAATGCTGAGGCTGTCATGGTGATAAATTAAAAATCAGTACATTTACATTAGAGGAGTCGGTGAAGGATCCAAAATGTATGTTCAATACTAATTCCAGCTATAAGGAGATGTCTGCTGAGGCATGTAAATGATTATGCATGTTAAGTGGTACAGTATTGACTACTAAGAGCCGAACTAGATTTTATGTCATGTCATATATATATATATATATATATATATATATATATATATACTATTTATATCCTTAAAATGTAAATTACAATAGCAGCGGCTGCTGCACATAGTAACAATAAGAATCACACAGAAAATAAGTTAATCTTTTCCTCTATGTCTGTGGTCCTAAGAAAATGTTATCTCTTTTTGCATAGGGATAAAAATCCTTCATCGATGCTGTTGAGTGTTTGTTTACATTTGAACTTTTGGATAACTTACACTCTTAATTTGGCTCTAAGATTATAAGTAAAGTATGGTTCATTGAAATTGAAAACCCAGTTGTATGTATGCCTAAGTTAGAAGCGGTTAGGGTTTGCTTTGTACAATACCTCTAATGGCGAGGGCCTTGATTTTCCAGAACGGGTCAGTCTGCATAATCTTAAAAAGGCATTTAAGTACCTGTAGCCAAAATGACAATAACAGCACACACAGCAGTTAACATACAGGCTAGGCATATAGAAGGCTGGTTCTGCATGCAGACCTCTTTTGCTGCCCTAGGATCCCATCAGGGAAATAGGAGAGCTCCCAAGGATTCAGAGTGTAGCCACTACTCCCACGCTCAAGAAGGACATTTATCTTTATCATTGCATGTATTGGTAATTTTAACCACTCACTGTCTCTTCTTTAATCCTAAGTGCTCCAGCTGCCCTACAGGCTTCCTTTCGGACAGCAACAAAATCATCAGAAAAACATTGAAGAAATCCAGGGAGCAGCCTGGATGTCATGAGCCTTAGCCAACCAATCAGAGAGAGCGCTTCCACCCGCATCCGGCAATCTCCTCTCTTCAGTTGCTTCCTGAAAGCACAAAGTACATGTCCTTAATTACCAATGGTTGGACTTGGTTTAGGTGTAAAGATAACATTATTAAATCTTTGGGACAATAATAAGGCTATCTGAAGCAAAAAAAAAGTCATCAATTCAAACTGACTAAACATAAGACAATCAATGGCTCATGGTGCTCATATTCATATGCTGAACATGCTTTTTAAAAAATCAATGACAGCAGAATTTTCTAGAGAACCAGATAGAGATTTAAGTTTAGATTAAGTTTCTCAACCTGGGGGTCGGGACCCCTGGGGGGTTGTGAGGGGGTGTCAGTGGGGTTGCCAAAGACCATCAGAAAACACAGTATTTTCTGTTGGTCATGTGAGCTGTGTGCCGAGCTTGGTTAAATTCCATTGTTAGTGGGGTCCAGAATGCTCTTTGATTGTAGCTGAAATATAAATCCCAGCAACTACAACTCCCAAATGACAAAATCAACCACCACCACCCCCCAACCCCACTAGTAATTAAATGTGGGTATTTGTGCCAAATTTGATCCAGTGAATGAAAATACATCCTGCATATTGGATATTTACATTACGATTCATAACAGTAGCAAAATGACAGTTATGAAGTGGCAACGAAAATAATGCTATGGTTGGGGGTCACTACAACATGAAGAACTGTATTAAGGGGTTGCAGCATTAGGAAGGTTGAGAACCCCTGGTTTAGATCAGAGCAGTTTTGTACAGTATGCCCCGCTAACTTTAGGATTCTTGAGCTTGTAATCTTGGAAGTGTCATATGCCACACTCCAAGCCCGTTCTATTCCATCAGGTTCCCCCAACCTTATTTGAAAAGTTTTTCAGATGGTGTAAAGATGAAGACACGAAAGATTACATTCCCTTCACTAAATAGATATTAGGATCAAGGCATAGTTTGTGTGCACTCTGAATCATATGAACTATCATTTTTATTCTTTTATCATTGCTCCTTCTTTGGAGGCTTTTAAACAGAGGCTGGATGGCCATCTGTCCGGGATGGTTTGAATGTGATCTTCCTGCTTCTTGGCAAGGGGTTGGATTGGATGGATGGCCCACAAGGTCTCTTCCAACTCTAGGATTCTATTATTCAATTCATGGGAATGAGAAAAGAGTTTCTGATTAGGGACTCCCATTGTTTCAAATACCAAAATGTCTTTGAATCATTCTGCTTCTCATGCAAAGGTATCTCCATCCTCAATAAGCATCACATCTGTTTTGTTAATGTGTCATAGAATCATAGAATCAAAGAGTTGGAAGAGACCTCATGGGCCATCCGGTCCAACCCCCTGCCAAGAAGCAGGAATATTGCATTCAAATCACCCCTGACAGATGGCCATCCAGCCTCTGTTTAAAAGCTTCCAAAGAAGGAGCCTCATTACAGTTCCTTACCTAAGCTGGTCATGGACTTCTTTTCCAAGTTCAAAATGCCCAAGAGCCTTGGCAGCTGCCCGACGTACATCAAACTTCCAGTCTGTCCACATCAGCTGAACCATTTTGTTTTTGAGATCCTACATGGAAGAGCAATATATTAACTCCTATGTGAACTAAAGGGGACTTTTGGCAGCAAGAACCAATTTGCCGCTTTACTGCAAAGAACACCATTTTAAAGTTGTGGGATTCTTTTTGACATTGGTGCCTTCATAGAAAGAGGAGCCCACACAGAAAGGGTGACTGTCTCATACAAGTGAGCATGTATGAAAGGAGAAGCATGACCTCCACCATCCTCATGTAATCTTAGAGGAACGCAACCCCAGGGGCCTCTGCCAACAATGAAATCTTAGTCTGAATTTTCCAATCCTCAGTGGGGCTATACAACCTAGTACAGCTAATCCTCAAGTTACGAACAAGATAGGCTCTGTAGATTTGTTCTTAACTTTAATTTCTTTGTAAGTTGGAACAGGTACATTTTTAAGTGTAACTCCAGCAAAATATCTATCTATCTATCTATCTATCTATCTATCTATCTATCTATCTATCTATCTATCTACCTATCTATCTCAGCCTTGGATAGCATAAGGAAGTGTTCACATTCCTGTGTTTGTCTTGATGTCTGTGTCTCTGTTCAGAAGATTTCACCTCACTTTCTGTCCCTGTGATAATTTAATTTTGAAAAAAATCTGTCTTGTTGTGGAAACAAGGATTGATGCTAAACCTTTTGTTGGACCATGCAAGAAATCAGTGAGTGTGTGTGTGTCAACTGTAAAATAAAATGCATGATGCTGATTAGCCGAGCTATGCCTGGGGAGATGGCCAAGCCTGGGACTATGATGTGTGTTGGTGCAACTGATCACATTGTACATATGTTATTCTGAACTAAGAAGACTAAACTACTTGTTCTTTATTGTTCATCTGTGTGGCATATTTTCTTTCTCTGGGAAGACAGTGTGGGGGCTAATCAAACATGAACTACAAGTTATTTGTTTTTCATTACGCCACTCCTTTTCCCAATGATAAGTCGTTCAGGAGTGATTTTCCCTTTCGATGGGTAGATTCCTCTCACTTTGTGTTGTCTAACTCCTGTTCTTAACTACGAGTCATTTGTAAGTCAAATGTTTGTAACTTGGGGATTGCCTGTACTATGGGTCTAAAATGGTTTTAAAAATTAGGAAACTTCATACTGTTGCTATTGTGGATTATTTTGTACTATTTTTGTATTATTTCTGATGTTCTTTGTACTTTGTAAGGCATTGAATGTTTGCCTGTCTCTAAGTGTAAACCACCCTGAGTCCCTATTGGGAGAGAGGGCGGTATGGAAATAAAGTTTTATTATTACTGTTATAGAAGAAAAAATCCCATCCCCTAGTCCCACCTGCAGCCACTTGCAATTTGCTACCACCACTGGAAAGCTTTCTTAAAAGACTAGGAAAGTCTTGTAAACAAGCTGTGATTAAGATTTGAGGGGGGAAATGATCCAAAATTGTATTGGGAATGGATTATAATGGAAGAATGGAAGATGTTAACATAATGACACTTGCAGAAAAATAGTTTCCCAATCCATCCCATAGCAGCCCTTATACTGTATCCTATATTATTGAAATAAGCCTCACAGGATGTGAGATGGTAAACTTTTATTCCCACTGTTAGCCCCAGCTTCTGCCAACCTAGCAGTTTGAAAACAAGCAAATGTGAGTAGATCAATAGGTACCACTCCGGCGGGAAGGTAACGTCACTGCATGCAGTCATGCTGCCCACATGACCTTGGAGGTGTCTATGGATAATGCTGGCTCTTTGGCTTGGAAATGGAGTTGAGCACCAGCCTGCATGACTGGACTTAATGCCAGGGGGAAACCTTTACTTTTACCTATTATATGCAATATATGTAAATGGGGGAAATCGCCTACTATAACAAATGAATGCCTTTCACAAAGTGAGGGGTCTCTTGTTCTAAAAATACTTGCAAATATATGGCTTTATCAGATCCTTGTAAGAACTGAATCTTTTGTAAGTGTGAGTCCTGCCAGAAAGTTAATCCTTCAATTTGATTATACAATGACAATAAAGTTATTCTATCCTATTCAAATATTCATTGAGTTAATGGACCAACCCCTACCTGGCTGATACTTCCAGGGATACGAGAGAATGTTTTACAAGCCGACACTCGATTTTTCCATCGGCAGCTGTTCAGTTCTGATGCCAGTAAACAATGAACCAAGCCCTGGGAGCGTTAATTCAATAAGAAAGAAGATAAGAAATGTCATCCCCACAGAAAATTCTCACTGTAGAAAGGAAAGATTCATCATTATTGAAAGTCTGTAACTTTCATTCCCATTTTGTTTTTGAATATCTTTGAAAAAACTGTGATTTTTTCTTACTGAAAAAAATGTAAAGAATTTACCATACTGAAAAGTACTATATGAATTATTCAGTATTTAATGAAAGAATGACAGAATTCTTGCAGGGAAGTACAAATATCACTGCAACCTCTTAGAATAATAGAATCATACAGTTGGAAGAAACCACAAGGGCAACCCAGTCCAACTCCCTACCATGCAGTAACACCCAATCAAAGCTCTCTTGACAGATGCCCATCCAGCCTCTGCTTAAATATTAAACAAAAAGGACTTAGAAGTACATTTCAACCCTGCTCTTAATCCACATCCATTCCATGTGGAAATGTTTTGTACCATTTAGCATGATCAAATAGGTATAAGTAAAAGTTAAACATGAACTTGTCTTTTTGGTTTACCAAAAAAAAGTAATTGGTTCTCAACAAGGGAAATTTTATTTATGTATTTATTGTATTTATAGACTGCTTTTCTCACCCCTGGGGGACTCAAAGCATTTCACAACATGACTCTTGGCAAAAATTCAATGTCTTCCATGTATAAGACATCGCATATCAAATTAACCACATATAGCAATAGATTAAGACCATTAAAACCATAAAACTATAAACAACAATCACAACACAACATAAAACATTAGGTTTTACATCGATCTCGAGATTATCTTTAACTACTTCATCTTTCCATACTCCTGTCATTCATCAAATGCCTTCTTGAACAACCAGATCTTAAGTTGTTTCCTAAATGCTAGGAGGGAGGGGGCTGATCTAATCTTAATGGAGAGGGAGTTCCACAGCCGAGGGGCCACCACCGAGAAAGCCCTGTCTCTCATCCCCACCAATCGCACTTGTGACGGTGGCAGGACCGAGAGCAAAACCTTCCCAGCAGATTGTAGTGTTCTATCTGGCTCATAAAGGGAAATGCATTCAGATAGGTAAACTGGACCAGAACCGTTTAGGGATTTATAGGCTAACACCAGCACTTTGAATTCTGCTCGGTAGCAGACTGGCAGCCAGTGGAGCTAACGCAACAGGGGGGTTTTATGCTCCCTGTACACTGGTCTGGTGAGCAACCTAGTTGCTGCCCATTGGATTACTTGAAGCTTCCAAACAGTTTCCAAAAGCAGCCCCATGTAGAGCATGTTGCAGTAGTCTTGTAAATAATGGCAGGTTGGATTTTGCATATACAGGTAGCCCTCCACATAGGCAGTTTTAACTTCTGCAGATTTGATTGTTCCCAGATTTGATTAAAATGCTTTTTCTAGGAATCTCTAGGTCCTCCACTGAGATTCTATGGTCAATTTGCTGCAGAGTTGTGCCAGAGAACCTAGTGATTCCTAGGGAGGTGTTCCCTCGAGTGAAAATTAGCAATAGTCTTATTCATGGTTTTGTTTTTCTTTTTGCAGGTGTCTTGTGCATTTAACTCCAGCAAATGTGCACGTTGACTATAAGTCTCTTGATTGTACATATTCTTTAGTTGGGCTGCTGCAATATTATTGAAGCCTAAAAGACAGAATTCTGGCTTCAGGGAACTTGAGTTACATGCCATACATTCCAGATATGTTCACTTTGTGTGGATTTGTAAAGAGGCACCATGATGTGGTGGGTTGACTGGAAAGACATGTGTCAGCAGTGATTGGCTGAGCCAGAATTCCGATTGGCTACTGACTCTGGCCTGCTGCTGAGACAAACGGTTTTAACTGCAAGTTAAACCTCAGAGAGTGAAGAGAGCTCTGACTGGAAACAGCCTAGAAGGAAATAGCTGCCAACTCTCTGAAGCATGATAATTTCTAAGGCATAAAGCATATTTTAAAGATTGTTTAAAAGGACTGTTTATTCCCTCTGTTCTCTAAGAATTCAGAGAGACTGCTGTATATATTGTTGCTCTGTTTGACCTTTTGAACAGAAGATACTGTTACTTGTTACACAAGCCCAAGTGACACTTCATTATACTGCAGGGTATATTTTGGTTCAGAAACTGTGGTAAAGCTTCTGTTTATTTACATTTACAACTCCCATGTTTTAAAATGAAAACATTGTGTTTATTATCCTATTTACAGAAAGGGTTTGCAGATTTCCAAATTGTAGCTAATTAGAAGAAAAATCTGTTGAAGGAAAGCAAAAACTCTTAAGGCCAACATGCAGCCCCATCCCATTAGATGGATTCTGATCAGACTGGTACAATGGGTCTCAACTCTTTCTTTTTATTCTAGACACAAGCTTGAGTTACAGAATATTTGTGGACTATTATTATCATGTATTCCTATTGTGTCTTTCTTCTGAACCTTTATACTTACTGTGTGTTTGCTGAGCTGAGCCAACAACCGACAAGCCTGTTCTTCTGTGGCATCATCTTTTTGATCAAAAATCTGATACAGGATCCTCTTTATGACATGTAAACTGGTAATGCCATCCATAGCCAGGGCCTGGGCTGCTGCCCAGCTATCTGCACTGTTCCCTGAAATCAAATGGAGGATTTTATTTATTTATCGTGTCGGTAGCAGACCAAACAGCTGCGTTGCATTTTTTAACAAACAGACAAAACACAAAGTTTGCAAGCTTGGTAGATGATTAAATGTCCTTTGACCTGTATCTGGCCACTTGGAGTGCCTCTGGTGTTGCCGCAAGGAGGTCCTCCATTGTGCATGTAGCAGGGCTCAGGTTGCATTGCAGCAGGTGGTCAGTGGTTTGCTCTTCTCCACACTCACATGTCGTGGATTCCACTTTGTAGCCCCATTTCTGAAGGTTGGCTCTGCATCTCGTGGTGCCAGAGCGCAGTCTGTTCAGCGCCTTCCAAGTCGCCCAGTTTTCTGTGTGCCCAGGGGGGAATCTCTCATTTGGTATCAGCCATTGATTGAGGTTCTGGGTTTGAGCTTGCCACTTTTGGACTCTTGCTTGCTGAGGTGTTCCAGGGAGTGTCTCTGTAGATCTTAGAAAACTATTTCTTGATTTGAGTCGTTGACGTGCTGGCTGATACCCAAACAGGATGGGCTGGAGGTGTCACTGCCTTGGTCCTTTCACTATTGGCTGCTACTTCCCGGTGGCTGTCAGGTGGTGCAATACCGGCTAAACAGTGTAATTTCTCCAGTGGTGTAGGGCGCAGACACCCTGTGATAATGTGGCATGTCTCATTAAGAGCCACATCCACTGTTTTAGTGTGGTGAGATGTGTTCCACATTGGGCATGCGTACTCAGCAGCAGAGTACCATAGTGCAAGGGCAGATGTCTTCACTGTGTCTGGTTGTGATCCTTAGGCTGTGCCAGTCAGCTTTCGTATGATATTATATCTAGTGCCCACTTTTGTGCATCTTGTAGGTCAGAGCACAGTCCAGAGTGACTCCCAGGTATTTGGGTGCACAGCAATGCTCCAGTGGGATTCCTTTCCAGGTAATCCTCAGAGCTCGGGATGCTTGTCTGTTCTTGAGGTGAAAAGCACATGTCTGTGTTTTAGATGGATTAGGGGTCAGCTGGTTTCCCTGTAATAGGGAGTAAGAGCACCTAGAGCTTCAGAGAGCTTCTGTTCAACCATCTCAAAGCTCCCTGCTTGAGCGGTAATGGCGCAATCATCTGCATAGATGAAAACTCTCTGTTCCTTCTAGCAGTGGCTGGTCATTTGTGTAAATGTTGAACATTGATGGAGCAAGCACGCTCCCCTGAGGCAGGCCATTTTTCTGTTCCGCTATCTGCTTCTCTGGCCCTGGAACTCAACAAAAAAGCTCCTGTTTTGTAGCAGGTTTCCTATGAGGCAGGTGAGATGGTAATCCTTTGTGATATTATACATTTTTCTCAGGAGGAGGCAGTGGTTTACAGTATCATAAGCGGCTGACAGGTCTATGAAGACAGCTCCCATGATCTGCTGCCTTCCAAAGCCATCTTCTATGTGCTGAGTCAGGTTCAGCACTTGCGATGTGCAGCTTTTGCCTTTCCTGAAGCCAGCTTGCTGTGGAATCAGACATGGGTCTATTTTTTCATAATTCTATGCAAAATAAGTCTCTCCAGAACTTTGTAGAGGTGGCACAACAGGGAGATTGGTCTATAGCTTTTTGGATCATTACGGTCTTTGCCTGGCTTCAAGATGGCGATGACTCTTGCTTTCCTCCAGATTTTGGGGATCTGACAGGATGCAGTGCAGTTGTTCATCAGTTCCAGCAACCAGCACCTTGCTTTTGGACCAAAGTTCTTGATTTGTTCCATCCGTAGATCATCCAGGCCAGCTGCTTTGCCATTTTTACATTTATTGAGAGCTATGTCCAAATGGAGGATTATAGAGATCAATAGAGTTTGTGCTACCATGGTAATTTTTTTGGTGAAGGAATTCACTGTAGTAGTCCCCATAGAAGAGACAAAACATGCACTTCACTTTATTTCTTAATTAGTCACTCTCCACCAAGGTGCTCCGAGCGACTTACAATCTAAAATAGCATTTACACAATATAAAAACACTCAACATAAAAACAGGTAGCTATCTTCATCTATCAACCAAGTCTGGCAGTTTTATTCTCCAGCTGCAGCATTAATTGCCAACTGAGACAATAGGGAGGAGCCTTTCACAGCCTCACTAAAATACAAACCCCAGAATTCTGCAGGAGGCAGAAACCAGATTTTAAGTGGATTTTTTGTCTCTAGTGTGATGAGGCAAGCCACCTCAAAATAGTTTGCATTACAACAGGGATAGCTACCAACAATACAGTATTGTTGCTAGGTAAATTCATCCAAGCAACATGATTATTATGAGGATTTCAGCCAAAGTTGGAAGGAACAGGGAATTCTGAGCACACCAGCAAATTATATTACCATCCCTCTTAAACAAAAAAAGTCCTCGTCCTTCAGTCCTATGAGTATTGGCTCCTTTACACCACTGGTTACAGTCTGACATGCTAAACATGGTTTAATAAAGCAGACTGAGTAAGTTTATTGGAAGAACAAAAAAAATCTTTTTAATATGAGATGTGTGTGTATTTATGCTCCAAAATGTTATTAATAAGCACATTAGGATGGCTGAAAAGGTTTGCTGTGTGAACGTAGCATTTAACTATATAATTATATTGCATGTTGATTTTAAATTGAGACTTAAGACATCTAATCCCCAGTTCAACTCACTACGGCTCCTTCTACACTGCCATAAAAATCCAGATTATCTGCTTTGTACTAGATTATACGGCAGTGTAGGCTAAATGTGGATTATTGCTTTGATAATCTAGATTATATGGCAGTGTAGAAGGGGCCAATATAGGACTGACCAAACTCATTTTGATAAGAATTGGTTACAGCTAACATCATTTGAAAATTATTTGTTTGTCTGTTTGTTTGTTTGTTTGTTTGTTTGCTATATTTACATACCGCCTTTCTCAGCCCAAAGGTGACTCAAGGCGGTATACACTCGGCACAATTTGATGCCCCACAACATATAAAATACAATTTAAAACATAGCATAAAAAATATAGTTTCATAAAAAGTCAATAAAATCATACATCCTTAATGTCGCCTTACTGAAATCACTATTAAAAATCGCATCGTCAGTCTTTCCGTGGTCTATCATTGCCGGTTACGTTGAGTTTGCAAATGCCTTCTCAAAAAGCCATTTTGTAAAATGTTAAGAGGGAGGGGGGCGATCTAATGTCCCTAGGAAGGGCATTCCACAGCTGAGGGGCCACCAATGAGAAGGCCCTCTCTCTCATTTCCACCAAGCGCATCTGAAAGAGTGCTCCAATCTTTTTGTCTACTTATTATTTGTCAGAAAACATTATCATTGCATGGAGGTGGATTACGTCCCGCAAGAAAGAAACAGAAAAGGGATTTTACTAACCATTTAACAAAGCATGTCTCATAATGTCCTGTGCCTCTTGATGCCATTTCCCCATAGCATAGAAGCATACAGCTGCTGCCATTCTCACATGTGCATCTTTATCAAACAGCTGATTTTTAAGCAAAGGCTGTATTTTTTTGGGTAAAGCTTCAGTTTCTAAACCCTTTGCACCAGTTTCCATTCCTATTACTGAGAAAAATCAGAACATTGATGTGATTTAATTTGCAGACAAAGTAAGAATTTCAGCTTTATGAATAATAATTATTCAACTGACTAAACATTTGTTTTATAAAGACATTACCTGCCTTATAATCATTTCAGAAAGATTTTAACACATTGAGAAAGAGAGAGGGTCTTTGGATTCTGATGAATTAAGGCATAACCACTGAAAACACAGATTCTGTGGCGTTGGCTGTGAAAGAAAAACTCAGACTATAAAAAGAAAACCTTTATTTTCATATCTTATGGTTTAGTGTTGCATTGCTTGGATATATTTTGGACTACTATAACTCCCACTAGTTGGAGGATTCTGGTAGTTACAAGCTACAAAACAAAAATGTTTCCAAGCTCTGTGTTTTACCAAGTACCCTTCAGTCATTTAAAAATGACTAAAAGTAACATGGGTTGTATAACAAAATGTACTGACATAATTGATCAACAAGGGGAAGACAGTAGTTTGTTTTTAAAGTTAAATTTACTTCCTGTCTCTATAAGATTTGTTCGCAGTGTTAGAAAAAATACAACTGAAATATAATCACTAGAAGCTGTTCATATTGGGCTGGGCTTTAGCACTGCAAGTTAACAGTCAGCTGAAGTAAATCTTGCCAATCAAAAGGTCGACAGTTCGAAGCCCGGTCGGGGTGAGCTCCTGGCCTTTAGGCCAGCTTCTGCCTACCTAGCAGTTTCGAAAACAGCAATGTGAGTAAATAAAGAGGTACCGCTTTAAACGGGACTGTATTTAAGGCACCCATAAAGAAATGTCAGAAAAATGTTGGCAATTCGATCAGGTAGGAAGTTTATGAACAAAAGCTCTTTGGCAGGGAAGATGGGGTAATAGCCCCCCCCCCTCCCCGGGCCGGAACCAAGCACAGCCTCTAAGATGCTGAAGATGGGAAAGCCTATATATACCTTTATCTATGTACAGTTGTCTGTCTTGTCAGTGTACAACAACATTGAATGTTTGCTGTATATATGTTCTGTGATCCACTCTGAATCCCCTTCGGGGAGAGAAGGGCAGAATATACATACTGTAAATAAATAAATAAATTCATACCGGCCTCCTGACTCGATTCTTGCACACGTTGGGGCCGCTCAAGCACAGCAGTTGCACAAATAAGTATAGCATTGATCCGATTTAGAACATGCACATCCCTAAGACTTCTGATTAATCCTTCTATAGTTGCTGATTGCCACGGAGGATCTGAGCAATACAATGAAAACAATCAAAACACAGTTCAACCATGGGGCAAAAAATATTTCTGGCAAAACTATTAGATTGCTAGCTCTTTTCTTCTGACCCACCCAAATAACTTTGTGTTAACCCTTCAACCATTATTGATGAATACAAAGGTTTCAATCAATTTAAATGGATTATGACCAGTTAAGACAGGATTTGTAATACATACCAAATTTCCAATCAGCCTTCCACTGTTCCAGCATGGTCCTACGGATATGGATAATCTCAGGAACATCATCAGATTTTTTATACCCTTCTCTTTTTCTCCCACTTGATACAAACGATTGTTGTGCTCCACCCGACCGAGTGAAATCTTCAATGCTAGTGGGAAGTGAGGTCCAGTGGATGGTTCCCTTCTGTAGCCTTTTAACTTTCCAAACAGATTAAGAGCAACTAATTTTAAAGAGCAAATGTCAGTTTCTTAGATTGTATTTACATCACCCATTAATTACAACAACTTTTTCACTGATCCAAATTACTTTGGAACCATACGTTTATTCTATTTGTATCCTTCCTTTCTCCCAACATTGGACCCGAGGCAACTTACAGCACATCAGTCTTTGTAATTCTAAGTTGAGCATCCCTTATCCAAAACACTTTAGGCCAGAAAAGTTTGGGGTTTTGGATTTTTAAATTTTATTTTGAAAGATGTGTGTTTATATAGAATCATAGAGTATGATGAGACTTCATGGGCCATCCAGTCCAACACCCTGCAAAGAAGCAGGAAAACTGCATTCAAAGCACCCCCAACAGATGGCCATCCAGCCTCTGTTTTAAATCCTCCAAAGAAGGAGCTTCCACCACACTCTGGGGCAGAGAGTTCCACTGCTGACCAGCTCTCACAGGAAGTTCTTCCTAATGTTCAGGTGGAATCCATACATTCATAATAAGATATCTTAAATATGAGACCAAAGTTTTCAAATAGAATTCATTTCTGTTTCATATAAACCTTCATACACATAGCCTGAGGGCAACGTCACAATATTTTAAAACAATTTTGTGCAGGAAACAATGTTTGTGTGCACTGAGCCATTTGGAAGCAAAGGTGTCACTATCTCAGTCACCCATGTGGACAATTTTGGGAGTATTTCAGATTTTGGGATTTCGGGCAAGGGATGCTCAACCTGAAGTAATATTACTTCATGGGAAATTCTGCATAAATGAATTGTCCATGTTAGTACAAAGTTCCTACCTGCCTTTTTTGATGGCCTGAAGCTCCAGATCTCATGAGGTCTTGGGTAACGTTGCTCAAGATGTAGATAGTATTCATAATTATTATCCATAACTAAACGATCCTTCTTGGTGTCTTGATGGACAATCCTGGCTGATCCTAAATGCCCACGGGAATAAGAGGAAATGAGGTTGGTTACTTACTTCATAGTTTGTTAAGGAGGACAAAATTAAATGCAAATTAATAATATGGAAAACAATTCCAAATATTTCCTAACATTTTAAATAGATTCAGTTATGTATGCTATTTAGGTGTGCACTATAGAGAAGCATCCCTTGAAAGGGCAGGAAAAAACCTTACAGCATATTCACAAGTTTCCAGCTCTTTAGAAATAATTAAGATGCAGTTGTAGCCAGACCTACACCTCTTACAACGTTATCATACTTACACATTCACAACATTTACTATATTTTTAATATTTTACTATATTTACTATGGCCAAACTTTCTGCTAGCTAATCTTGAGTCTTAATTATGGCAACAAAAGGATGTATAGCTATTCCAGTTCCACCTACCAAAATAGAGGTCTTGTTCAAAGACATTTTGCGTTGTGTATGAGTATTTTCCAACCACAGAGTTCAATCTTCCTCGACGTTTAACAGGAGACATTGATTTGAAGGTCCTCTTTGATATTCTATCTGCTGTTTTGTTGTTAGCAGCTGGGTCTTCTATGGAAAGCACTCTTGTGTGGAAAGATGGTCCTCTGGGAAATAGGAAATGTTATTTCATTTATGATACTCTTAGAGCTGGAAAGAGTTCAAGCAATGCTTAGAGCAGGTTCTCAACCTTCCTAATACCACGACCCCTTAATACAGTTCCTCATGTTGTGGTGAAGCCCAACCATAAAATTATTTTCTTTGCTATTTCATAACTATAATTTTACTACTGTTATGAATCGTAATGTCAATATCTGATATGCAGGGTGTATTTTCATCCACTGGAGGGCCAAATTTGGCACAAATACCCGATACACCCAAATTTAAATACTGGTGGGGTTGGGAGAGGGAATTGATTTTGTCATTTGAGAGTTGTAGTTGCTGGGATTTATAGTTAACCAACAATCAAAGAGCATTCTGAACACCAACAATGATGGAATTAAACCAAATTTGGCACACAGAACTCCCATGACCAACAGAATATACTGGAATGGTTTTGTGGTCATTGACCTTGAGTTTTAGAGTTGTAGTTCACCTACATTCAGAGAGAATTGTAGACTCAAACAATGATGGATCTGGACCAAACTTGGCACAAATACTCAATATGCCCAAATATGAACACTGGTGGAGTTTGGGGAAAACAGACCTTGACATTTGGGGGTTGTAGTTGCTGGGATTTATAGTTCACCTACAATCAAAGAGCGTTCTGAACTCCGCCCATGATGGAATTTAACCAAACTTGGCACACAGAACTTATTTATTTATTTAAAACATTTATATTCCACCCTTCTCATCCCGAAGGGGACTCAGGGCGGAGCACAGCATATACATGGCAAACATTCAATGCCGGGACACAAATTCACATATAATAAACATTAAAAAAATCAAAATATTAAAATACACCATTTAAAACCGTCCTAGTCATCCGCATCAAACCTAACTGGCCTGGTCACCTTTCCTATTGCCGCTTTATTGCCCTGTCCCGAAAGCTTGGTCCCACAGCCTAGTTTTTACCATCCTTCTAAAGGACAGGAGGGAGGGGGCCGACCTGATCTCACCAGGAAAGTAGTTCCATAGCCAGGGAGCAATCACCGAGAAGACCCTGTCTCTCATCTCCACCAATTGTGCCTGTGACAATGGCGGGACAGAAAGCAGGACCTCCCCGGAGGATCTTAATCTCAGCAATGGTTCATAGGGGGAGATGCGTTTGGACAGGTAATTTGGGCCGGGGCCATTTAGGGCTTTATAGGCCAAAGCCAGCACTTTGAATTGTGCCCGGTAGCAAACTGGCAGCCAGTGGAGCTGGCATAACATGGGAGTTGTATGCTCCCTGTATGCCACCCCAGTTATTAACCTGGCTGCCTCTCGTTGGACTATTTGAAGCTTCCGAGCAGAACTCCCACGATCAACAGAAAATACTGAGTTTTCTGATGGTCTTTGGTGACCTCTCTGGCATCCCTTCATGGCCCCCTCAGAGGTCCCGACCCCTAGGTTGAGAATCACTATTGTAAATACATTATTTACAACCCTAAGCAGAAAATCACCAATTTATGGGTAGTAGGAGCAAGGACATGGGTGTACATGTAGCTTCCATCTCTGACCATTCCCCTGGCAGCTTCTCACACCTTTGTGCATTGAGCAACAAATCCATAATTGCCCTTGGCTGAATGCAAGTTGCAGGGTGCCCGCAACCAGAAGTCCACCATCATCAGGGGTTCCCAAACAAAAGAATTATCCGACTGTGTTCAACTAATTTTTTGGTTCAAGTTACAGGGTCTAATATATACCTTCACACTGAATGTGTGAAAGCCTGAGAGGCTTTATAGGAAAGACTTGAATCCTGCAGACTCGAATCAAAGGAGGTTTTTCCTAAATTCAGGCTTCTGCCTCCTGCAGAATTCTGGGATTTGTAGTTTAGTGAGTCTATTAAAGGCTCCTCCCTAAACTACAAATCCTGGAATTCTGCAGAAGGCAGAAACCAGATTTTAAGTGGATTTTTTTAGTGCGATGAGGCTGTAAAAGATGTAATGCACATGTTGCTTCTGTGAAATTGCAAATTGCCTTACCTATAATAGGTAAGCAGGGATGTCTCGGGTTTCTTCTCATGGAGTGCAATATGACTTCCCACAACAGTTTCTGCCTCAATTTCATTCAACAGCTCCATATCACTTTCAGAAGTGAGCACATACTTGATGCTGCTCCAATCGTATTTTTGCCTCTTAAAACCCCGTGGCTTGCCCTGAACCCAGCGTCCCCAGGAGGGCTGATTATTGACAATCCATTGAGCTGTAGCCCTGCTTAATTTTGTCAACAGCCTTTCTTCCCATTTCAGGTTTTGCTGCTGTGGTTTGTGGACTGGGATGCTCGGTAATGTTGGCTTTGGCCATCTTTTGGTTGTCTTGTCTCCCAACATCTCTGGGGGTTCAGTTAGGAATATCCGTGAGTGTTGGAGCTCACAAGAAGGAGGAGGAGAAACTGGAGGAACAGGCACCAGCAAAGTTGGGTCTGGAATTTCACTTTCTACTTTAGCTTTGTATATGCACTCTTCCACAAAATATGGAAAATTTGGAGGGGTGGGTGGCTTGGCCAGAGCATCTTCTGACTTCAGTTCGTAAAGTTGTTTCCTTAGTGGTTTGAGCCTTCTTGGTTGCCTTATTTTTCTAGGAGTAAAGTCCTCACTTTTTTGCTTTTGAATGACACTAGAAGGATCGTATAGACCTCTAGGATCAAATTTCATGTAAGACAGAGATGACGGCTGCCTTTCTGAAACAACATCGTTGGCAAAATGCAGGCCTGTGGCTGCATTCTTCAAGCACTGTTTCTGATAGTGCGCTTCGTACCAGTTGGTGTGGCCGACATCTCTTTGATACATTATAGGCATTTTCGCCTTCATTGCAGACGCCATAGCTTTGTGAGATGGTAAGTTCTTTCGATCAATTCTAATCTTCAGACTGCCTTCAAGTGGAAAAGGATTTTTGCTCTTGAAAAAAGCAGGTATCTCCATCTTGTCACAATTGATGAAGTTGATTATTAATATATAGCTGCTAAAAAAGAAATGTACACAAAAGTTGAAGCTCTACTGTTCTCTGGGACAATTGAGCTTTTCCTAAACCACAGAAGAAAAATAAAGATGAACTCTTATCAATTTCTTATCAAAAGGGACTCAGAATCATCATGCATCCCTAAACAGCCTACCATTGCAGAATGTTGACACTGAATCTCAAGAATGTCTCATTCACCTGTGATGGAGATAGGCAATATCAAATTAGGGCGAATAGAAAGGTAAAATGTATTGTCAAAGCCTTTCATGGCCGGAATCACTGGGTTGTTGTGAGTTTTCTGGGCTGTGTGGCCATGTTCTAGAAGCATTCTCTCCTGACCTATCACAGAAGAAAAGTTACCATACATCCACTGACTGCATAGGGAAGCCGATGGACAAATGCAACATACAAACTATCTACAGACCCACTAAGAAAATCTAACAAATGCTACATTCAGCAAAGGACAAGAGGGATCCTCTCACATCTGCAGGAGTCTACTGTATACCACACAGCTGTGGACAAGTCTACATAGGGACCACCAAACGCAGCATTGTCTAAACACGAATCAAGGAATGTGAAAGGCACTGCAGACTACTTCAATCAGAGAAGTCAGCCATAGCAGAGCACTTGATGAACCAGCCTGGACACAGCATATTATTTGAGAACGCAGAAATGCTGGACCACTCTAACAACCACCATGTCAAACTACATAGAGAAGCCACTGAAATCCCAAGGTGTGGACAATTTCAACAGAAAGGAAGAATCCCTGAAAATGAACAAAATGTGGCAACCGGTATTTAAAAACTCTAAAATCATAACAGTAAATAAAGAACAACACTCAAAAACAAGGGAATTCCAGACAAGAAACAATCAGGGCCGGCTAACACCTCCCAAAAAGGATTCCCCCAGGCAGTAAGAAGCCAGACCTTGAAGCTGCTAGAAGCCAGATCTTGAAACATTCATACCTATTTCCAGCAGACAAGAGTTCTTTCTCCCACCCTGGACTTCCCACAGAGATATAAACCCCATTTTCCTAGTTTCCAACATACCTCAGAACCTCTGAGGAGGCTGCCATAGATGCAGGTGAAACGTCAGGAGAGAATGCTTCTGGAACATGGCCATACAGCCTGGAAAACTCACAACAACCCAGAAAGGCAAAAGGTTGTGTATATTTTTTTTCTTATCTACCAATCATCTCTTCTGGCTCATCATAAAGGAAAATACAGCCCTCCCCATCATATCTAGTTACAATTATTTAATTTGTATGTATTATTTATTCTGGACCATTTTTATCCTAACTCATAACTCTCTGTTCTTTTTTTTCTTCAAGTAATTCACTGGGCATGAGTAATTTTCTCTTAACTGATATGCCATGATAAATTGGCTAATCTGAATACAGGATGCTATATTACATTTCAATATTTCTACTGATATTTTTGGAAAGGTGTTTGAATAATTGTTGCTGTTAAGATGAAGGGCTCTAGAGGTGTCCCCTTGCAATTAAGTCCAGTTGTGTCCGACTCTGGAATGTGGTGCCCATCTCCATTTTTAAGCTGAAGAGCCGGCGTTGTCCATAGACAAGGCCATGTGGCCAGCATGACTGCATGGAGCGTTGTTACCTTCCTGCCAGAGCGGTACCTATTGATCTACTCACACTTGCTTGTTTTCCAACTGCTAGGTTGGCAGAAGCTGGGGCTAACAGTGGGAGCTCATCCCGCTCTCTGGATTCAAACTGCCGATCTTTCAGTTATCAAGTTCAGCAGCTCAGTGGTTTAACCCATTGCACCACCTGGGGCTCTACTTGATAAGAAAACCTCATCACAGGTTTGCCTTAGGATGACCGTAAGTCAGAAATAACTTGAAGGGATGCAACTAACATGAAATTAGTTAGTAAATATGATAATTATCTGTTTTGCTCACTGGTATCTTCAGCTTAGCTTAAGCCAGCAAACTGAAATTTAGCCTTTTTACTATGGGCCCTTACACAGCCTTATTTTCCAGAATATCAAGGCAGAAAATCCCACAATATCTGCTTTGAACTGGGTTATCCAAGTCCACACTTCCATATATTCCAGTTCAAATCACATAATGTGGGATTTTATTCAGCTGTGTGGAGGGGGCCTAAGTTATCCCTAACCATTGGGATATTTCAATTTCCATTATTTTTCTTCTCCTTTTTCATGAAGGTATAAAACTTAAGACCAACCTTTCAGACCTGGACCCGTATGAATAAGAGCCAGTTACACTCACTTGTTGGTTGGAAATTAACTTTCTGGCTCCAGAAAGATTTCTCCTTTAAGTGTTTACAGCTGTTGCCTGGTTACAGGCGATGTACTTCACATTCTGTCAAGTTTGATTTGCTAGTTTTAAATAGAGCTCTCTATCTGAATTTGCATCTTCACCCAAGAACTAATGCAGTGTGACACCACTTGAACTGTCACGGCTCAATGCTATGCAGTCCTGGGAGTTGTAGTTTTATCCCTCTTTGCCAAAAAGTGCTGGTGTCTTATAAAATTGCAAATCCCAGCATTCTATAGCCTTGAGCCATGGCAGTTAAAACCGGGTCAACCCTAAGATCTACAGAGATACTTGCAGGAACACCTCCGCAAGTGAGGGTTCAAAAGTGGCAGGTTAAAACCCGGAACCTCAATCAGTAGCTTTTTTAAAAATCGTGTTAGAAACTCATAACCACTGAGGATGCCTGCCATAGATGCAGGCAAAATGTCGGGAGAGTGTGCTTCTAGAACATTTTATATACAGTGTTCCCTTGCTACTTTGTGTTTCACTTTTAGCAGACTCACTCTTTTGCGGGTTTTTGAAAATATTAATATAAAATATAAAATATTTATGTCCAGTGGAGGCCAGGGACCCCAGAAGTGCGGCGGCCTGAGGCATGGCGGGGAAGGCCTGAGTTATAATGTAAATAATGTATAAATATTAAAATTAATATGGTATCCCTACTTTGCAGATAAGTGAGGGAACATTGTCTAGCCTGAAAAACCTACAACAACCCAGTGTCAGAAACTATGAGAACATACTGCAAGTCACTTCTGGGGTGAGAGAATTGGCCATCTACAGACACATTGCCCAGGGAATGCCCAGATGTATCAGCTGTGTGGCTTCTCTCATGTTCCCATAAGCAAGAGCTGACAGACGGGAGTCTATCCCGTGCTGCAGATTCGAACCAGCAACCTTCAGGTCAGCAGTTCAGCCAGCACACGTGTTTAACCCATTGTGCCACCGTGGCTCCTATCAGTGGCAGATACCAAACAAGAGACTCCTTCCTGGGCACACTGAAGACTGGATGACTTCTAGACATCTTGGAAGGCACTGAACAAACTGTGCTCTGCACCATGAGATGCAGAGCCAACCTTAAGAAATGGGGCCACAAAGTGGAGTCCACAACATGCGAGTGTGGAGAAGAGCAAACCGCAGACCACCTACAACAATGCAGTCTGATCCCTGCCACCTGCACAATGGAGGACCTTCACATGCACAATAGAAGCACTCCAAGTGGCCAGCTACTGTTCATAGAATCATAGAGTTGGAAGAGACCTCATGGGCCATCCAGTCCAACCCCATGCCAAGAAGCAGTAAAACTGCATTCAAAGTACCCCCGACAGATGGCCATCCAGTCTCTGTTTAAAAGCTTCCAAAGAAGGAACCTCTACCACACTCCGGGGCAGAGAGTTCCACTGCTGAACAGCTCTCACAGTCAGGAAGTTCTTCCTAATGTTCATGTTGGCCCCAATTTAGGAGGCAACCGCTGGCAGTGAGACCAGAAGAAGCCTGTTGGCAGAAACCACAGACAAGTGACAAGTCTGAGCTACCCATTTTCTGTGAGTTCCTGCTGCAAACATACAGATCAGCCCCAATTAAAATCACCTGTAGTAAGGTGAGGAGATGTCAGCCAAGGAAGGTTTCATCGTCTGCAAATAAGGTCCTAGTTTGTGATACATTCACAAAGAAACTAGAGTAGCCAGAAAACAGAAATACAGCCTCTTTTATACACAATAATTTCAAATTTCCCAATGGGCTTCGCCATCAGCTGTGGCGAAGCCCATTCGTCGAGTGTCCCAATTCTAACCAATCACAGAAAGGGAGCTTTGCTGAGCAGTTGGCTTGTGAAGAGGCAAAGGGCATTGAGTGGTGGTGAAAGGATTTCCCTTTATTCAACAGGAAAAATAATAAAAATGATTGAGGGCACTTGGCCCTACCCAGGAAAAGTTTATTGTGTGCAGGATGGTCATGGCAGAGCCCCACCAGGGGGCCAACCCTGGGCATTGGCCCTAGATCATGGCAGCTTAAACAGGACATATTGGCACAATCATGCAAATGGCAGAGGAGAAGGGCTTAGGAAAAAGACAATCAGTTTTCCTTCCGTGGGGAGAGGACCTACACACAAAGGTGCATTGTGAAGAGTAGCTACTTCCCCTGAGTCAGGCAGGAAAGGCAATGGGCCATCTTGTCCAAAGGCTTTCTAATGGGGACCAGCTATCTGGAAAGAGAAGAGCAAAGGCTGAATTACAGCAAGGAGAGGTACATGAGGGCTGGGAAAGATACATTACAGAAGGGTCTTCAAACTTTTTAAACAGAGGGCCAGGTCACAGTCCCTCAAACTGTTGGAGGGCCAGATTATAATTTGAAAAAAAGAAGAATGAATTCCTATGCACCTTGCACATATCTTATTTGTAGTGCAAAACAAAAAACAAAAAAAACACACACTTAAAAACAATACAATAATTAAAATGAAAAACAATTTTAACAAATATAAACTTACTAGTAGTTCAATATAAACTTTAGTAGTTTACTAGTAGTGTGGGCCTGCTTTGGGCTGATGAGACAGGATTGTTGTTGTTGTTGTGTGCCTCCAAGTTGTTTCAGATTTAGGTTGACCCTGAGTGAGGGCCGGGTAAATCACCTTGGAGGGCCACATCCGGCCCTCGGGTCTTAGTTTGAGGACCCCTGCATTACAGCAAGGAAAGGCAAGAGAAGCACAGAGTTCAGGGTAACCAATTTATTAAGGGATCATAAGCAGATGCACATGTTCCTGATTGAACATGTGCAGAGCCAAACAAGTATACTTTAAGTGTCTGCAGCCTTTGGAACTCTCTGCTGCAGGCACAAAGGAAAATAATAATAACTTTGCCCAGGGGGGTTTCATGCAACATTCAGATGGAATCTCCTTTCTTGTAGATTGAAGCCATTGTTCCGCGTCCTAGTCTCCAGGGCATCAGAAAACAATGTATTGTCGAAGGCTTTCATGGCCGGAATCACTGGGTTGTTGTAGGTTTTTTCAGGCTATATGGCCATGGTCTTGAGGCATTCTCTCCTGATGTTTCGCCTGCATCTATGACAAGCACCCTCTGAGGATTCTTTATTTATTTGTCGTGTCAGGGCAACCAGTCATTTATATTACCTTTCTAACAGAACAAAGCAAACAAACACAAAATACAAAATTTGTGAGTTTGGTAGTTGATTAAATGTCCTTTGACCAGTAGCTGGCCACTTGGAGTGCTTCTGGTGTTGCTGCAAGAAGGTTCTCCATTGTGCATGTGGCAGGGCTCTGGTTGCATTGCAGCAGGTGGTCAGTGGTTTGCTCCTCTCCACACTCGCATGTCGTGGATTCCACTTTGTAGCCCCATTTCTTGAGGTTGGCTCTACATCTTGTGGTGCCAGAGCACAGCCTGTTCAGCGCCTTCCAAGTTGCCCAGTTTTCTGTGTGCCCAGGGGGGAGTCTCTCCTTTGGTATCAGCCATTGGTTGAGGTTCTGGGTTTGAGCCTGCCACTTTTGGACTCTCGCTTGCTGAGGTGTTCCAGTGAGTGTCTCTGTAGATCTTAGAAAACTATTTCTAGATTTAAGTTGTTGACATGCTGGCTGATACCCAAACGGGATGAGCTGGAGATGTCTCTGTCTTGGTTCTTTCACTATTGGCTGCTACTTCCTGGCAGATGTCAGGTGGTGCAATACCGGCTAAGCAGTGTTATTTCTCCAGTGGTGTAGGGCGCAGACACCCCGTGATAATGCGGCATGTCTTATTAAGAGCTACATCCACTGTTTTAGTATGGTGAGATGTGTTCCACCCTCTGAGGATGCTTGCCATAGATGCAGCAGCAGGCGAAATGTCAGGAGAGAATGCCTCTAGACCATGGCAATATAGCCCGAAAAAACCTACAACAACCCATCAGAAAACAAGCTTGCTCCCTCCTTCCTATGACTTCCCTCACATATTTATACATGGCTATCAGGTCTCCTCTCAGCCTTCTCCTCTTCAGGCTAAACATGCCCAGCTCTTTAAGCCGCTCCTCAAAGGGCTTGTTCTCCAGACCCTTGATCATTTTGATCAAAGGACATTTAGCATTATGCCAAGCTTTTAACTTTGTGGGTTTTTTTAAAACACATGATAGCTGTATTTTCTATTTGCTTCTGACAGGATAAATCAATAAGGGAGGCTCATTCCTTTCCAAGGAGGGCGTGGAGTCCCTGCCCTTCTCCTCCTCTTCCAGGAGGCCAATCCGTGCTGCTGTCTGCATAGTAAAACACCTCCAAAAGGAGCTAAGATTCCCCAGCCCTAGATACAAAGTAGAGGATGTTTCCATCTTGCTGGAGTCCTTCAAGGGCCTCCTTCTCGCGCCTGGCGGCCTTCCCGGCCTCCTTTCTGCCTCGCTTCGGCTCCTCCATGGCGGCCAACCCCCTCGTCCTCTTCGCCCCCTCCGGCCGCAGCCTCTTCGACGAGCCGCTACGCCTCTCCGTGGAAGGCCTGAGGCCGGGGCAGGAGGTGACCCTGGAGGCCTCGCTGGAGGACGAGCGGCAAGAGCTCTTCGAGGCGCGGGCCTTCTACCGGGCCGACGCCGAGGGCCGCTTGGATGTCAGCCGCTCCCCGGCGCTGGAGGGCGAGGGCGGGAGCTTCTCGGGCCTGGAGCCCATGGGCCTGCTCTGGTCGCTGCGGAGGCCCATGCGGCGCCTGGTGAAGCGCGACGTGCAGACCCCCTTCCTGCTGAAGGTCGACGTGCGCGGAGGAGGGCCTTCTGAGGGCCCGGGCCCGGTCCTCGCCCGCGGGACCCACGAGAGGGCCTTCCTGGGAGAAGGGACCCGCCGGATCCCCGTCAGGGAAGGCGCCCTCCGAGGCACCCTCTTCCTCCCGCCCGGTGAGGCCCAGGCCTAGGCCTTCAAGCCCGCCTTGGAGTTTTCAAATTTCTCATTCTCACAGGGACAGGAAGTGAGGTCAAGTCTTCTGAACAGGCCCACAGGCAGCAAAACAAACACCAGGAGGGTGTTCGCCCATCCCTAGGCTGCCCAAACAATCTGTCTGGTTGGAGTTAGACCAGGCCTGGGCCAACTTGGGCCCTCCTTCCAGGTGTTTTGGACTTCAACTCCCACCATTCCTAACAGCCTCAGGCCCTTTCCTAGCGGCTGAGGGGGAAAAGGAAAAGGCCTGAGGCTGTTAGGAATGATGGGAGTTGAAGTCCAAAACACCTGGAGGGCCCAAGTTGGCTCAAATCAGAGTTAAGGCTTAAGAAATGTACCTGTTCTGACATACATACAAATTCAACTTCAGAACATCTGCAGAACCTTATGGAGTCATGAGCAGGGTGCTCTTTCAGCCCAATGGGCTCTGTAGTCCTTGAACTATAGTGTCTGATAGACACCTTAGTCCAGAGCTTCCCAAACTTTTCATATTAGTGACAGGCTTTTTAGACAATCATCCTTTCGCGACCAGATCATTCATTTTTCAAAGCATACCAGAAGTTAACCCAGGCATGGGCAAACTTGGCTCCTCCCCCCATAATGTTTTGGACTTCAACTCTCACAATTCCTATCAGCCTCAGGCCTCTTCTTTTTTCCCCTCAGCCACTTAAACAGCTGAGGGAAATGGAAAGGGCCTGAGGCTGTTAGGAATGGTGGGAGTTGAAGTCCAAAACATTCTGGGGAATTGATGTTGCTCCACTCCTGGTCCAATTCAGGACAACGAGGGCGGTGGCAAAGAACTCGCACTATTCCTTTTTTAATTTTTAAAATTGATTTATGGTGCACACAGGGAACAAAACCGACACCAGGGGGGAAAAAACAAAACAAAATACAAAAAAAGAAGAAGAAAAAAATAAGAAAAATATATACAAAAGAGTATGCAAGTTTACAGAATGGTATACAGTCAGCACTCGTTACACATATGAAAAATCAACTTTGACTGTACAGTTATACCTTAACATTTATTGTCCCTCTAACCCCACACCCGTGAACCCAACCCCATGATCCCCGACACCACTCAGTATGGATCACATAACTTACCCACAACTACCCACATGTCTTCTTTCACTAAATCCCCTTTATAGCGATCTTCAAATTTACTTTTATCTTCTTTTGGAGATATCCAATTGTCAACCTCCTTTTTTTTTTTTTTTTTTTTTTTACAAATTCTTCATTATTTCTTCCTCTGCTGCTATTTGTCAGTTGGCCATTTGGATATAATCTACTAATTTATCTCTCCAATCCTTAATAGTTAACTCTTTTTCTCCCTTCCATGTTTTAGCTATTATTAGTCTCGCAGCAACAAAGTAATACTGACATATTTCTTCATCTCCTGCGCTAATACGCCTTCTAAATATTCCTAATAAGCACATTTCTGGGTTTTTCTTGACTTTTTTGTTAATCATTTTGTTTGTTTCTTTCACCACTTTTTTCCAGAATTCTTTATGTTACAGTCCACCATACGTGGAAAAAAAGATCCCTTCACCTTCTTACATCTCCAGCAAGCCCCTCGTCCTGTTTTCTCTATTTTAGCCAATAACTCTGGAGTTATGTAGGTTCTGTAAAACATTTTAAACATGTTTTCTCTAAGTGAGCTGGCCACTGAGCTGTCCAAAACAATCTATCTGGTTGGAGTTACACCAGGCTTGGGCCAACTTGGGCCCTCCAGGTGTTTTGGACCTAAACCCTTTTCCAAAAATTTTCCTACTCATCCAAATCGATATTTCTGCCTAAATCTTTGACCCATGTGATCATAATTATTTTTGTTTAGTTGTCTACTAAATTGTATTCTAAAATATATTTGTAGAGCCTGGAGATTAGGCCTTCTTGAAGATATTTTCCTTTTTCCCCACAATCGCTTAAGCGGGCCTAAGGCTGTTAGGAATTGTGGGAGCTGAAGTCCAAAATACCTGGTGGGAGGGATGGCTGAAGTTTGCCCATGCCTGAACTATAGTGTCTGATGGACACAATTCCTAACAGCCTATTGTTCTAACTACACAATTACAGCACTATGATTTCACTATAACTGCTATGTTCTCATCGTATGGTATTCTGGGATCTGTCGACTGTTAGGAATTGCGGGAGTTGAAGTCCAAAACACCTGGAAGGCTCAAGTTTGCTCATGCCTGGGTTAAACCAGCCACTTATAAGATTTTCATACTGTGTGTGTTTGCGCGCACTTGCACTTCCTATAATCTTTATTGTATAAAAGGTTTAGAAATACTCCCTTTATGATTCTTACACCCTACAATTGATTCTTCTTCAGTTTCCTCTATTGCTGCTCCATGAGGTTCATTACAAACATCAGTTTCAATAGATTTTCTTAATCAGAAACTTATCCTTCTTAGTGCTGATTATGGCAACTCCATCAACATATTGCGCCAATTATGAAAGTTATAACCGTACCTGCACGTGAACAGCACCACTTCTGTCATGATTCAATCTTTTTTCGAGGCTTTTTAAGGAGAGGCTAAATGGAGTTGATTTGATTTTGCATTCCTGTCTGGCTGAAAGTGGTTGGACTAGATGCCCCTGGAGGTCTCTTCCGGTGGAGTCTCCTTCTTTGGAGGTTTTAAACTGAGGCTGGATTTCTGTCTTTTGGGAGGGTTTTGACTGTGTCTTACTGCCTGGCTCAGGGGGGTTGGACTGGATGCCCTTTGGAGATCTTTTCCGTGTTTCCCTTCTCACCACACCCCCCAGCCACTGGGGGAGGCGCATTTTTCATGTGACACACTTGTGGACTATAGATGCCACACTAGTGTGTCCCAACATACATTTTGGAATGTCACTGAAGCTATGCTAATTCAGCCTGACGGACCCCATATTCTTTGAAACTGTCTGCATTCAGTTAGTCTGATGGGCCTTGTATTCCTTTTAGGCCGATTCACCATTCGGGTTCTTATAAGGATAACTAGGGCTAGACTAAGATATGCTGGGGCTCCAAACTGTGTCAAGTTTAAGTAGCCCCAGAGGTATATTAAAAGGTGTATGTTATTGTCAATGTTATGAAAAATAGTAATTTTGTTATTATTTTGCATTTGTAGTCGTAAACAATACTTTGCTTGCTTTATTGGTAAATCTGCCATTGGGCCTATGGTGCTGAGGAGAAGAGCCATTTTAAAAATACATGTTTGTGTTTTTATCTCTGTAATTTATTGTATGTATTTTATGCTTACGTGTTTCTGACTTTGTTGTATTCCTCCTCTAGGCAACAGGAGAGGTGGATAATAAATACACATTATTATTATTATTATTATTATTCTGACACAAAAACACAGTATGACACAGCAAATGAGATATATATATGCTGGATTTCGTATCACAAAATCACAAGTTGAACACTTTCCAAGCGTTTAGCACTGTGTGATATATTTTCGAATGATGTATGCTGGTCCAAGTAAGGTGGCCTTTTGCAGTTGACAGATCGTGATTTTTGTCAATGTTTGTTGTTTTCAAATGCGGCTGAGATCTTTTCGCACGGCACCCAGTGTGCTGATTACTACTGGAACCACCTGTACTGGTTTATGCCAGAGCCTTTGCAGTTCGATTTTGAGGTCCTGATAATGGCTGAGTTTTTCCTGTTGTTTTTCGTCAGTTGGACTATCACCTGGTATGGTGATATCAGCAATCCAAACTCTCCCCCCCCCCCCCCCCCCCCCCCCACAATCGTGATGTCGTTGTATTGTGTTCCAAAACTTTGTCAGTCTGGATGCGAAAGTCCCACAGTATTTTTGCGTGTTCATTTTCCACTACTTTTGCAGGTTTATGATCCCACCAGTTCTTTATTGCTGGCAGGTGGTACTTGTGACAGAAGTTCCAATTAATAATTTGAGCCACATAGTTGAGACTCTGTTTGTAAGATAACATAGTGGGCTTTCCATTTTACATGTGTAGTATCTCTTTACCTCGCCTACAGGTAATGGTCCCTTTCCTGGAATCATTGATCTTTACGGAGCTGGAGGAGGTCTCCCTGAATACCGAGCGTGTTTGTTGGCCAATCGTGGCTTTGCCATGTTTGCACTGGCCTATTATGGCTATGAAGGTCTTCCCAAGCAGCTAAAGGATTTACGTCTGGAGTATTTTGAAGAAGGTGTAAATTACATGCTAAAACACCCAATGGTAAGCCATGTGTGGATGATCTTCATCAAAATAGGAAGACCTTTTCCTTAATTTACCACACCTCAGACTGAATGGCTTGTGCAGCTTGAAATTAGGTTGCAAGTACGGGCCATTCTGGCTCTTAAAAGCCAGTGTGGTGCAGAATATGCTTTCAGAAGAAGTATAAAGGCACCAGATCCTTTCTGATCTTTGAAATGAAACAGAGTCAGCCCTGGTTCATATTTTGATGGGATTCCACTAAGTAATACTAGGTACTGTAGGCTATATTTCAGAGAAAGGAATAGCCAAAACTACTTCCAGGAATTCTTTGCCTGAAATTCATAGGCTCATCAAAAGTTGACTGATGACTTGAAGGTAAATATACCTATTATTGCATGATTTATACATTACAAAAAGAGGGTGTCCATACTTGAGGGTAGCTGTGAAGAAAGGACCTCACATTTACATGTTTTTGATATCCAGATACTATTGTGCAGAGAGAATGCTCTGTCAGGGAATTCTGTAGAGGAGGCTTCCCCTCAGATATAAGATAGCTTGTTTGGGCCCTGTTTCAGAAGCCTGTGTAAGTGATAGATGGGTCTCTCCTGTCAACACATCCCCCCAAAAGCTTCCAGATCTTGGAGAAGCCTGTGAAACTTCAGACTTAAACTTGTATATATAGCCCTTCTGTCAAGGGAATAACCAGCTCACACTGCCATGAAGCAAGAACTGCAGTGCCTGGTTTCACATTACTACTCTGAATGATTTGGATTGTTGTTTCCTTATCTTACTCTTATACTTTGAACTTCCTTCTTTGTGCTGAATTCCTGATGTAGAATGATACCAAAAGTTACAAGAACCCATATATTTGCAGGGTGGGTGTGGGTGGGGGGAGATTGAGAAAGCAGGGAAGTCTTAGGCAGTTGCTGTGATAAAAGCCATACACAAATGCCAATGAATCCGCTTAACTGTCTAGTCCAACTAGGGATGAACAACAGTGTAATCAGACATGTGAGATGCACTTGCACAGCTCTTCCAGTATTACTCTTAATTTCTCTTTCTCATTTTCTTTTTGCTCCTTCAGGTCAAAGGCCCAGGAATTGGGCTGCTTGGACACTCCAAAGCAGGTGATCTCTGTGTCTCTATGGCTTCTTTCTTGAAAGGTATAACAGCGATAGTCACAGTTAATGGCTCTGTAGTTAATGTTGGTGCAGCCCTGCACTACAAGGACATCACCATTCCTCCTATTGGCGTTGACACAAAACGAGCCAAATTTGACAGCGCTGGGGTTGCTGACATTATTGACGTCCTGGAAGATCCACTTGAGGGTGAGGGGCGCAAAAGCTTTATTCCACTGGAGAGGGCTGAGGGACGCTTTCTTTTCATTGTCGGCCAGGATGACCATAACTGGAAGAGTGAATTCTATGCAAATGAAGGCTCTAAACGTTTGCAGGCTCATGGAAAATCAAAACCAGAGATAATCTGCTATCCTGGAGCAGGACATTACATTGAGCCACCTTATATGCCCTTCTGCGCAGTTTCCATGCATTTCTTGGTGGGCAGCCCCGTGATTTGGGGAGGAGAGCCTAGGGCTCATGCAGCAGCACAAGAAGATGCTTGGCAGCAGATTCAGGCTTTCTTCCACAAGCATCTTGGTGGTGAACAAGGTGCAAAAGAAAGCAGATTGTGAGAGCTTTGGTCCCGAGATATGTGTTTCAAGATGGATGCAAGAAGGCTGTATATTCTGCTAAGCAAGATGTTGATGAAATAAAGTTGGCATGTGTGAAGTGTAAGCTTGTGGAGGGAGACTGATGGGAAAGCCCAATACTCACCCGCCTACAAATTTGTGCCTTAAACTCACCACCTTAAACTTTGTGCTTAAACTAGCCATTCTTATTGATGTTCAGCAGACTGACAGAAGAGTCTGCTGACAGTGTCTGGGAAGATTTGCAGGATGACCTAGTTGCATTGCCAAGGTGAAAAGTTGTATTCGCTTATAATATACAGATTGGTTCTTTCTGGTTTTGTTTCTTTTTGCTTCTTACTCAAAATAACAATTCCTCACATCAAGTTGTATATCCAAATCAATTTGGGTATGAACTAACCCGTTGAACATACCATTTGGTGGGATGTGTACAAAATTTAAATGAAAGAGGTATACCCTCTTTTCCTCCTTTTTGGGAGGGAAAATTAACATTTTATCAGCACTTGGATAATGTTTAAAATGCTGTCACTGTTAGCTTTCAAAGGTAATTTCAGACATAGCAATTTTACTTTTAACTTCAAAGTGTTTGCAAATCCAAGTTAGTGCCCTCCAGTTTAGCTCTGTTTTGTGTTCTCATAAAGTAATGATTAAAATGAAATTGCACTGTAACTTATTACGGTTTCTAAATAAAATCAACATTGAGATGAGTATTCAGTGCTGCTTTGCTTCTTCTATACTCTGAATCACAAAAATAGTCACTCAATAGATTTAGAGTGTTAGTGCCTCACTAAACTACAACTCCCACGATTCCATAATATTGAGTGGTAGTTATTTAATTATTTATTTATTGTGTCAGGAGTGAACCAAACACTTGTATCCTGATATGCTTAATTTAATTTTAATATGCTTAATCCACTGTTAGGAATTGTGGGAGCCAAAACACCTGGAGAAACAAAGCTTCAAGAACCACTGTACTGAAACACTGGGGGCCATTCCACACAGCCATATAACCCAGAATATCAAGGTAGAAAATCCCACATCTGCTTTGAACTGGGTTATCTGAGTCCACACTGCCATATATCCCAGTTCAAAGCAGATAATGTGGGGTTTTATACAGCTGTGTGGAATGGGTCCCTGAATATCAAGGCAGGAAATCCTACAATATATGCATTGAACTGGTTTATCTGAGTCCACACTGCCATATATTCCAGTTCAAAGCAGAAAATGTGGGATTGTATTCGACTGTGTGGAAGGGGCCTATGTCAAGATTAACTGTGGGCCCTTCTACACAGCCCTATATCCCAGAATATTAAGGCAGAAAATCCCACAATATCTGCTTTGAACTGGGTAGAGTCCACACTCAGATAATGTGGGATTTTCTGCCTTGATATTCTGGGATAGAGGGTTGTGTGGAAGGGCCCAGGGACAAAGCCCAACGAAGTCCTGCACTTGTATTTTTAAAAAACCCAAAAAAAACCTAAGGGTCCTTCCAGACAGGCCCTATATCCCTGGATCTGATCCCAGGTTTTCTGTTTATCCTAGATTATCAGGCAGTGGGGACTCAGGGCCCTTCCACACAGCCCTATATCCCAGAATATCAAGGCAGAACATCCCACGATATCTGCTTTGAACTGGGTTATCTGAATCCAAACACTAATAATGTAGGATTTTCTGCCTTGATATTCTGGGATAGAGGGCTGTGTGGAAGAGCCCCAAACTCCAGCTGTTGGGACCTCCAGCTTCTAGAATTCCAGACCATTGAACAAGGTGTGTAGGGCAGTGGTTCCCAACCTGTGGGTCCCCAGATGTTTTGGGCTTCAACTCCCAGAAATCCTTACAGCTGGTAAACTGGCTAGGATTTCTGGGAGTTGTAGGCCAAAGCACCTGGGGACACACAGATTGGGATTCACTGTACTAGGGTTTATGGGAGTTGGAGGCCTAAACAGCGGAGGGACGCAGTTTGAAGATGCCGACCTGTCTTGGATCGATCGAAGCTGTCTGCCTAAATGCTTCCGCGTGCACCTAGCGCGATCGATTGCTTTTGCCTGACGTCATCGGCAGCGGCGTCTTTAAGAGTGCAAAAGTGTTCTTAAAGGGGCCGCGCCCCCATTCCTCCCTCCCTCCCTCCCGCCCACCATGTGGAGAGCGGCTCCGGGCTTCCGTGCAGCCGGGTCCTTGGCCGGGCTTGCCTTCCGAAGGGCGGCCGCCACGGTGACGGTGACCCCCGCGGAGGGGTTGTCGGACCGGCCTGCGGAGATCCACGTGCGGGGCCTGCCTCCCGGGCAGGAGGTCACCCTCCGGGCGCTTGCTGCCGGCGAGCAGGGCAGCCTCTTCGACGCCTGCGCCCACTACCGCGCGGATGCGGGGGGCGCGGTGGACGTGGGCGCGGAGGCCTCCCTGGGCGGGGACTTCGTGGGCCGCGAGCCCATGGGCCTCTTCTGGAGCCTCTCCCCGGCCGCCATGGAGCGGCCCCACCGGCGCCTGGAGCCCCCGAGCGCCGAGGCGGCCCTGGAGGTGGAGCTCTCCGTGCACCGCGGGCACAGCGGCCCAGCAGGGATCCCCGGGCAAGTGCTGGCCAAGGCCCGCGCGGAGAGGCGCTTCACTCTCCCCGGGATCAGGAAGGTCCGGCTGAAGGAGGGGCCCGTGCGGGGATCCCTCTTCCTCCCCGCAGGTGCGCTTCCCACCGGGCACCTCCCCAACTAGGCCAGGCAGGGGACAACATCGGCCCTCCCTCCGGGTGTTTTGGAATTCAACTCCCACAATTATTATAATGTAATGTATTATTATTAGAATCAAAGAGTTGGAAGAGACCTCAGGGGCCATCCAGTCCACCCCCCCCGCCAAGAAGCATTCAAATCACCCCTGACAGATGGCCATCCAGCCTCTGCTTAAAAGCTCCCAAAGAAGGAGCCTCCACCACACTCCGGGGCAGAGAGTTCCACTGCTGAACGGCTCTCGCAGTCAGGAAGTTCTTCCTCCTGTTCAGATGGAATCTCCTTTCTTGAAGTTTGAAGCCATTGTTCCACATCCCAGTCTCCAGGGAAGCAGAAAACAAGCTTGCTCCCTCCTCCCTGTGACTTCCTCTCACATATTTATGGCTATCATACTTCCTCTCAGCCTTCTCTTTGTCAGGTTAAACATGCCCAGCTCCTTAAGCTGCCCCTCATAGGGGTTGTTCTCCAGACCCTTGATCATTTTAGTCGCCCTCCTCTGGACACATTCCAGCTTGTCAACATCTCTCTTGAATTGTGGTGCCCAGAATTGGACACAATATTCCAGGTGTGGTCGAACCAAAGCAGAATAGAGGAGTAGCATTACTTCCCTAGAGCTAGACACTATGCTCCTATTGATGCAGGCCAAAATCCCACTGGCTTTTTTTGCCGCCACATCACATTAGCGGCAAAAAAATATTATTATATTTATATTACATGTAATATTATGAGTAATATTACAATATAATGATATAGTACGATATAGTAATATTTAATACTGATATTGTTCTATGCTAATAGCATAATATATTGTATGTATGTATATATTTATCTTCTAAGCCACTCTGAGTCCCCTTCAGGGTGAGAAGGGCGGCATATAAATGTCGTAAATAAAATAATAAATAAATAATTTCTAACAGTTGGTGCATCTATAAGTGCTATGGTGCATCTACACCCGGTCTGGGCTAACTTGGGCCCTCCAGGTGTTTGGGATTTCAACTCCCACCATTCCTAACAACCTGAGGCCCCCTTCCTTGGATCTGTCACACACCATGACTGGAAAGGCACCCCCTGAACCAATCTCACACTCCAGAGTTCAGTATATAAGCAAAGCAGTTTATTAAAGGATAAATGCAGCTTCAGCAAAAAGAATGTTGTTGTTCATTCGTTCAGCCATCTCCGACTCTTCGTGACCTCATGGACCAGCCCACGCTAGAGCTCCCTGTCGGCTGTCACCACCCCCAGCTCCTTCAAGGTCAGTCCAGTCACTTCAAGGATGCCATCCATCCATCTTGCCCTTGGTCGGCCCCTCTTCCTTTTGCCTTCCACTTTCCCCAGCATAATTGTCTTCTCTAGGCTTTCCTGTCTCCTCATGATGTGGCCAAAGTACTTCAACTTTGTCTCTAGTATCCTTCCCTCCAGTGAGCAGCCGGGCTTTATTTCCTGGAGGATGGACTGGTTGGATCTTCTTGCAGTCCAAGGCACTCTCAGAACTTTCCTCCAACACTACAGCTCAAAAGCATCTATCTTCCTTCGCTCAGCCTTCCTTAAGGTCCAGGTCAAACATCCGTAGGTTACTACAGGGAATACCATGGCTTTGACTAGGCGGATCTTTGTTGCCAGTCTGATGTCTCTACTCTTTACTATTTTATCGAGACTGGACATTGCTCTCCTCCCAAGAAGTAAGCGTCTTCTGATTGCCTGGTCACAGTCTGGCAAAAAGAATAAAAGTATTTAAAAAGTCATACAAAATATAGTCCATATAAAAAGGTAACAATCCAAAAGACAAAAGTACAGGCGAAACCTTTCAAACAGGAATCTTTGCAAATATAACAGATTCAAAAAACTATGAGTCCATGAAACCACTTAAATCTAAGAGCAATGCAAAAAACCGAGAAAAACATTTGATATTAAAAACATGAGTCCATGAAAAACCACATAGGAAAGTCCAAGACTTGGATCCATGAATCTTGAAACAAGAGAGAGGGATGTAGGCTTGTTCCCTTAACCTAGATGTTGATTCTTCTAAAGAAATAATTTAAATTAACCCCCATTTATTCTTAAGAAATGATGTCTTTTTCCTTGAGAACTCTGAGCTCCTCTTAGATAACAGCCTCTGAGAATGGCACCTCCGTTCAGCCACCTGTCTCTGCTGACAAATTTCTTTCCTTCTATCTAACTTAGGGAAGTCAGACGGATCTACATCTCCAATTAACACATTCCGATCAAATTCTGACCTTGGTTCTCTTGGGAAAGCTAGCTCAGGCCTGTCAGCCCCTGAATCTGTCTCTAACTGAACATCCCCTAACAATCCTAGAATCCTCAGTCCCATCAGGAGCAACACCAGACTCCTGCACAGAATCCCCATTCTCAGACTCCTGTGGGTCTGCAGAAGCTTGTTCACTGTGGTGTTGTAGGTTTTTCGGGCTATATGGCCATGTTCTAGAGGCATTCTCTCCTGAAGTTTTGCCTGCATCTATGGTAGGCGTCCTCAGAGGTTGTGAGGATGACTGCCATAGATGCAGGGGAAAATGTCAGGAGAGACTGCTTCTAGAACATGGCCATATAGCCCAAAAAAACCAACAACAACCCAGTGACTCTGGCCATGAAAGCCTTTGACAATACATAGTTTGTTCACTGATCTCTGAAATCTCAGGCAATGAAACAATCACAGGCTGAACCACAACAGGGCCTGAGGCTGTTAGGAATGGTGGGAGTTGAAGTTCAAAACACCTGGAGGATCCAAGTGGGCCCATGCCTGCTTTATATTCTTTCATTGGCCTGTCCCAACATCCTTATTCTTTCTGCTTTTATTATTAGGAGACGGCCCCTTTCCAGGAGTGATAGATATGTTTGGTGACGAAGGCGGGCTAATTGAATTCCGATCTAGCCTTCTGGCCACGCATGGCTTTGCTGCTCTCGCCTTGCCGTATTTTCATTTTGAGGATCTCCCTCAAGTCATGGGCGATTTCCACCTTGAGTATTTTGAACAGGCGGCCAGGTTTCTGCTGCGCCATCCAAAGGTGAGTGTGGAGGCACACACTACGGGGGAGAAGAAGCCTGGAAATTGTAATGTTTTGGTTTTGTGTATATAGTTTTCTGACAGGAAGTTCATATATTTCTTTTTAAACGACGTGCCTATGTGGCGCAAACAGGCAGTCCCCAAGTTACAAACCATGACTTACAAATAATAATAATAATACCTCACTATTTATATATTTTTTTATCTTCCTGGAGGGACTCAAGAGTGGATTACAGTACACATATAAAGCAAACATTCAATGCCTTTTACACAACGAACAACTAAATATAATACACAAATAAGGTAAAGGTCTTCCCTTTTTTCATCTCTGGCGTCTGGAGGCGATGCTCAACTCCGACCATAGGGATGTGCTCTTTTTCTATTTTCTGTGCCAAGGACCCTGCTGTCTGTAAACATCTCCAATCGTGTTGCTGGCATGTCTGCATGGGACACCCTTTTACCTTCCCGCCGAGGCGGTACCTATTGATCTACTCGCAGTATATGCTTTTGAAGTGCTAGGTTGGCAGAGGCCAGGGCTGACAGGCTTTGAATTGCTAACCTTCTGGTCAGCAGCTTTTCCTGCACCTAGCTGTTTTAACTGCTGTGCTACTGTGGCCCCAAACCATTCATAGTACGCGGGTTTTTTTGTTTTCATACCGGGAGCGACTTGAGAAACTGCAAGTCGCTTCTGGTGTGAGAAAATTGGCTGTTTGCAAGGACGTTGCCTAGGGGACGCCTGGATGTTTGATGTTTTGCCATCCTTGTGGGAGGCTTCTCTCTTGTCCCCGCATGGGGAGCCAGAGTTGACAGAGGGAGCTTATCCGCGCTCTCCCCAGATTCGAAGCGGCAACCTGCTGGTCTTCAGTCCTGCTGCCACAAGGGCACTGCGCAACCAGGGGCTCCAGTACGGGGCTGAGACAGCAGGAAGTGAGAGAAACCTATCCCTCGGAAGAGAAATTCACTCCTGTAAGCGTTATCAAAGGGACAAGGTGTCTCAACTGAAGCTTTATCACCAATCCTTGTTTTCACAACAAGCAATTTTTTTCAAAATCCATCACAGGGTCAGAAAGTGAAGTGAAATCTTCTGAACAGGGGCACAGACAGCAAAACAAACACCACAGGGGTGTGAACCTTTCCCTATGCTATCCTAAGCTAATACCTTGCATATATTTTTGGCTGAGGTTACACTTAAAAATGTCCCTGTTTCGACTTACAAACTAATTCAACTTAAGAACCAACCTACAGAACCTATATTGTTCGTAACTTGGGAACTACATGTACTTGCTAATGATTGTTTTCTGCACTCTTCTAATATTTTCAATTCTGTTGATTAATTTCCAAAGGTTAAAGGTCCAGGAATTGGTGCGGTTGGAACTGGGAAAGGAGCAGAACTGGCCTCTTCAATGATGACTTTCCTGCCAGAAGTGGTGGCGGCTGTCTGCATTTCTGGTTGCAGCTCCATCACTGCCAGTGCCCTTCATTATGGTGAAATGACTCTGCCTGGACTTCGCTTTAACATGAGCAGGGTCAGTATTTCTGAGAATGGGGTGTTTGACATGTACGAAGCCTTAGAAGACCCAATGGACCCAGCCAATTCACACTGCCGCATACCTGTGGAAAAAGCAGACGGCCACTTCCTTTTTGTGGTAGGGGAAGATGACCGCTATTGGAAGAGCTCTTTGTATGCAGACATAGCCATTGGATGCCTACGCCAGCATGGGAAAGACAACTTTACACTCTTGCATTACCCTGGAGCAGGTCATCGCATCAATCCATCTTTTTCCCCTGTTTGTCTGATAGCTTTAGACCGTATTCTAGGAGTGCCCATTTTAGGGGGTGGCGAGAAAAAAGCACATGCCCATGCCCAAGAACATTCTTGGGGGAAAATACTTGAGTTTCTGCACTTCCACTTGAGATGAGTAACTTTCAGTATTTGAACATCGGACAAGGTGCTATAGGCTACCTTAGAGGTGTCTCAGGGACTAAGAAAGCAAACAGATATATATGGGGGGGGGGGGGGGGGAGAACTTGGAGCACTAGGATGAACTGTAATGATGCAAGCATGATGGTGGCATATGAATGGGTGTTTTCCAGTTTGGATATTATCAAAGAATACTGACCATCTCCTAAAAGATTAACATAGATTACTCCAGCAACCTATAGTCTCAAAGTATTCAACTTGCTTCTTCAACACAAGCTGCAGAAATGGCAGGGAGCTGGATTCTCTGTCATTTGGAAATCACATATTCAAGATAGCAGTGTCATAGCTAGATATTTCTTTTCTGGAACATGCCGATCTTCATCAAACACAGCCAGTTTCAGCACTTAAAAGAGGAGCCTCAGGGCTGGACAGAAAGAGTACTTTGATAATCTACCAGTTGTTTTAAAATTTTCATTGGCCTTGACTCCCTATGATCACAAAGTGGTATTGCTTTGTTTCGGTATTTCTGGTGCTAGCACTGAAAAGAAGACTAACATTTTAATACTTAAAGTGCCAATAAAGATTACTGAAAGACTATATGCCTTTAATTTTAAGCACAATTCCTGCCCAATTTTATTTAGTCCCCAATATTATTGAACTCTTCAGAAACTGCAAGATCACTCCTGTCTCAAGCTGCCTCTTGGAATTTGTTTTCATTGGATGTGTGCACACACGGAATGGAAAATATATAGAGAAACATATATTTTTATTTCCCTTCTGCCCTACCATAGCCCTTGATCTACCAGATGGGTATTTTGAACAGATTGCAGTAATTTATTTCTGTAGAGGAAAGAAGTTTGAGATGGATTTAACAGCTGAATAAATGAAATATATCACATCTTTGAGTGAGCTTGTAACATATCAAAATTAGAGTATACAATTTTATGGGGGTTTTTTTCCTTAAGGAAAATAATGTTTTTGTTTTTTTTCAATCTATGTGATCAGTCATTACAGTAATGCAATGACTGGGTAAAAATAGCATGTTTGCTATTCGTTATTTGCTGTTGAGTTGATAATGTCTTCCTTTATTGAATCAATTTGTCTTTAATATGATCTCCCTTTTTTCCTATTTCCTTCCACTTTCCTGAGCATTATGAGATTTTGCATGGTTGTGTCATCTGATGAATCACTTTGACTTCTAGGGAATAGTGAGACCTGCTTTCACAACAATTTATTCATCTTTTGCTAGTTTATAGCATCTATAGAACTCTCCTCCAGCACCATGTTTCAGCCATATTTTGGGCTAAGATTGAACCACATTCTTTTATGGCATTTGGATATTTCATATATATATATATATATGTGTGTGTGTGTGTGTGTGTGTTATTGAGAAAACATATTTTTGAGAAACACAGAAACAAAATTCAGCTCATCAGAATTACTTGAAAGTTTATATAGAGCAAAATAATAAAATATAAAGGGAAAAACAAAATGTGTGGATATATATTTCCACAAATAATAATTAAAAAACAAAATCCAGTTTCCACAAATGTCTGCTTGCTTGCTTGCTTGCTTTCTTTCTTTCTTTCTTTCTTTCTTTCTTTCTTTCTTTCTTTCTTTCTTTCTTTCTTTCTTTCTTTCGTACACATGTATGCCATTGTATGCAGCATTGCTTAGAAGAATAATTACAGATCATTAATGTTATTCAATTGCAACTGTTCTTCAAGAATGGCTGCAAGTCTCCATGGATATGCAAACATTCTTCCCATTGTGTTATCAAAGGCTTTAATGGTTGGAATCACTGGGTGGCTGTGAGTTTTCTGGGTTGTATGATCGTGTTCCTGAAGCATTCTCTCCTGACATTTCACCCACATCTATTGCAGGCATCCTCAGAAATTGTGAGGTCCATAAACGACCTCAGAAACCTCTGAGGATGCCTGCCATAAATGTGGGCAAAACATCAGGAGGTAATGCTTCTGGAACATGGCCATACAGCCCAAAAAACTCACAGCCACCCATTCTTCCCATTGTTTGTTAGTCTGAGTTGCTTGAAAAAGTCTATATCTCCTGACCAGCTGCCAGGCACATTACTGTACTGAAAACAGAATGTTCCCCAGTCCCCCTAAAGTGAATTTTGCAAGTAAACTGCATTCAAAGTTACAATCTCAAACATCCTTTCCAAATCTGATGGCAATGTGCCTTTCCCAGTCCACATTCCAGATGGACAGCTCACTCAAGGGGCCCATCTACACTGTGGAATTAATGCAGTTTGATACCATTTCAACTGCTCAATGTTATGGAATCCTAAGAGTTGTAGTTTCACAAGGCCTTTAGCCTCCTGCGCTAAAGAGTACTGATGCCTCACCAAACAGCAACTCCCAGGATTCTATAGCATTGAGCCAAGGTGGTTAAAGTGGTGTGAACTGTATAGCAGTTGTATTTTGTCTATAATCATTGTTGATAGTATGATAGCTAGGTCTGGAAGCTCTGAGCATTACGTAGATGCCACAAAAGCGGCTGTGAATAAGGGAAGAGAGATGGCGGAGTGAGAGCAGGGAGAGCGAAGGAAAGATAGAAAAGAGGGGATGCTTAGGGTAAGGGTTAGGGCAACTTTTAGGGTTTGGGTTAGGGTTACGGTAAGGAGTTACGCTTAGGGTATGGTTTAGGGCAGGGGTCCTCAAACTAAGGCCCAGGGGCCAGATACGGCCCTCCAAGGTCATTTAACTGGCCCTCGCTCAGGGTCAACCTAAGTCTGAAACGACTTGAAAGCACACAGCAACAACAAACCTATCTCATCAGCCAAAAGCAAGTCCACACTTCCCATTGAAATACTAATAAGTTTAGATTTGTTAAAATTGTGCTTCACTGTAATTATTGTATTGTTTTTAAGTGTTTTTTTTGCACTACAAATAAGATATGTGCAGTGTGCATAGGAGTTCATTCATGTTTTTTTCAAATTATAATCCAGCCCGCCAACAGTTTGAGGGACTGTGACCTGGCCCTCAGTTTAAAAAGTTTGAGGACCCCTGGTTTAGGGGTAGGGTAAGGTTTAGAATTTGGGTTAGCGTAAGGGTTTGGATAAGGGGTTAGGCTTAGGCTTACGGTATGGTTCAGGGTTAGGGTATCACCATTAAAGAACTTTTACATTCCTTCAATATTATCTGTCTCTGGCCTGGCTTACCTTAGCTAAGTCTTGCGCAAACAGCACTCTTGAAGGGGCAATGTGGCATCTCCATAACACTCAGGGCTTCCGGACCCAGCTATCATACTATTGTCGAAAGCTTTCATGGCTGGAATCACTGGGATGTTGTAGGTTTTTTTGGGCTATATGGCCATATTCTAGAGGCATTCTCTCCTGACATTTCACCTGCATCTATGGCAAGCATCCCCAGAGGTAGTGAGGTCATTACCTCTGAGAAGTTTTTTTGGTCGTATCAGGAGCAACTTGAGAAACTGCAAGTTGCTTCTGGTGTGAGAGAATTGGCCATCTGCAAGGACGTTGCCCAGGAGACACCTGGATGATTTGATGTTTTATCATCCTTGTGGGAGGCTTCTCTCATGTCCCCGCATGAGGAGCTGGAGCTGATAGAGGGAGCTCATCCACACTCTCCCCGGATTCAAACCTGCAACCTGTCGGTCTTCAGTCCTGCCGGCACAGGGGTTTAACCCACTGCGCCACCGGGCACTCCTTACCTTTGAGGATGCTTGCCATAGATGCAGGTGACACGTCAGGAGAGAATGCCTCTAGAACATGGCCATATAGCCCGAAAAAACCTACAACATCCCAATCATACTATTACCTAATCATTTTTTCCCCAAGGGACACCCTTAGGGCCCTTCCACACAGTCATATATGCCTGAATATCAAGCCAGAAAATTCCACGATATCTGCTTTGAACTGGGTTATCTGAGTCCACACTGCTATATATTCCAGTTCAGAGCAGAAAATGTGGGATTTTATTCAGCTGTGTGGAAGGGGCCTTGGTTTTCAGGCAAGAGTAATACACCTGCCATCCTTGTGCTCCTCCAACGTAGGACTGCAACCTCTATCTGAAACCTAACCGGAAGTCAGGGGCGTACACGAAGACGGTCTCGCCCCCCCTCGTACCTCTATGGTACTTCCGGAAGAGAGGCCCCTCTGTTTCCAGGTGAGCCTCTATGGTGCAGCTGTGGATTCCGCTCGCCGACTTCCCCTCAGGTGAGCATGCGCGCGGGCTGAGCGTGCCCTAGCAACAGAAAGCGGGAGGCGATAGCAACCAGGATGAGGCGAATGGTGAGTCCTCGGGAAGGCTGCGGCCGGGAAGGGAGCTCGGGAGGCGCTGGGCCGAGGGAGAGGAGCCGGAGGAGCCGCCGCGGGAGGGAAGAGGCCCTTTGGAGGCTCGGCTGGGATGGCTGCTAGGCCGAGGGCAGGAAGGGAGCAGTGGGAAAGCGGGGAAGGAGGCAGCTGAGCCCTCAAGGCAGGATTATCGCGGCCTGGCAGTGCTTCAGTGGGTTAAACCCCTGTGCCAGCAGGACTGAAGACCGGCAGGTCGCAGGTTCGAATCCGGGGAGAGTGTGGATGAGCTCCCTCTATCAGCTCCAGTTCCCCATGCGGGGACATGAGAGAAGCCTCCCACAAGGATGGTAAAAACATCAAAACATCCTGGCGTCCCCAGGGGAACGTCCTTGCAGACGGCCAGTTCTCTCACACCATAGAATCATAGAATCCTAGAGTTGGAAGAGACCTCATGGGCCATCCAGTCCAAGCCCTGCCAAGAAGCAGGAATATTGCATTCAAAGCACCCACGACAGATGGCCATCCAGCCTCTGTTTAAAAGCTTCCAAAGAGGGAACCTTCCACCACACTCCGGGGCAGAGAGTTCCACTGCTGAACGGCTCTCACAGTCAGGAAGTTCTTCCTCATGTTCAGATGGAATCTCCTTTCTTGTAGTTTGAAGCCATTGTTCCGCGTCCTAGTCTCCAGAGAAGCAGAAAACAAGCTTGCTCCCTCCTCCCTGTGATTTCCTCTCACATATTTATACATGGCTATCAGCCTTCTCTTCTTCAAGCTAAACATGCCCAGCTCCTTAAGCTGCTCCTCATAGGGCTTGTTCTCCAGACCCCTTATCATTTTAGTCGCCCTCCTCTGGACACATTCCAGCTTGTCAATATCTTACTTGAATTGTGGTGCCCAGAATTGGACACAATATTCCAGGTGTGGTCTAACCAAAGCGAAATAGAGGGGTAGCATTACTTCCCTAGATCTAGACACTATGCTCCTATTGATACAGGCCAAAATCCCATTGGCTTTTTTTGCCGCCACATCACATTGTTGGCTCATGCTTAACTTGTTGTCCACGAGGACTCCAAGATCTTTTTCACACATACTGCTTTCGAGCCAGGTGTTCCCCATTCTGTATCTTTGCATTTTGTTTTTTCTGCCTAAGTGGAGTATTTTTTTGAAAAAGCAACTTGCAGTTTCCCAAGTAGCTTCTAACACGAAAAAAGTGCTTTAACTGCCTATTGAATCCTGTGATTGATGGGTGGCTCAGGATCTTAGCATTCTCCCTTGAGTTAGTGCTAGGGGGCATCTAGACCAGGCATGGGCAAACTTGGGCCCTCCCTCCTGGTGTTTTGGACTTCAACTCTCACCATGCCTAACAGCCTCAGGCCCCTTCCTTTCCCCCCTCAGCCGCTTAAGTTGAAGTCCAAAACATTCTGGGGAATTGATGTTGCTCCACTCCAACTTGCGGACTAGTAAACAGGAGGGTTTCACCACTTGGTATCCTCTATTTAAGAATGACCACATTGTCAACAATATCTTCAAGACTTAATGTCTGTAACCCTTAGAAAATAATAATAATAATAATAATAATAATAATAATAATAATAATGTATTGTCGAAGGCTTTCATGGCTGGAATCACTAGGTTCTTGTGGGGTTTTTTTGGGCTATATGGCCATGTTCTAGAGGCATTTTCTCCTGACGTTTCACCTGCATCTATGGCAAGCATCTATGCTTGACAGGAGTGGAGCAGATTATTTGTGAGGGAGAAACTCATAAAAACAGGGTCATAAAGACAGGCCTTCAGACAGGCAGGGGAAAGTGTACTATAGGGACAAACATCGAGGGGGAGCAACTAAAGGGGATGTATGGTTACTCTCCAAAAGCGCAACAGAAAAGCCAGGTTTTGATATTCTTCTTGAAGGTTGCTAAGGTAGGGGCATGCCTAATCTCACTCGGCAGTGAGTTCCAGAGTCGGGGGGGGGGGGGCACAGAGGAGAAGGTTCTCTCCCTTGTTCCCACAAGACGAGCCTGTGATATCAGCAGAGGTGAAAGGAGAGCCTCCCCCGAGGATTGAAGAGCCCTCCCCTTTCAAACAATGCCATCAGGCTGGCTAGAGGGAAGATATAGTGGGATCCCTCATGCCCAATGACTTTGTATTTGTGGGTCTGGGGAAAGAGAGGCTCAGATACACTATCTGTTACATTGCCCTTTGTATAATGACCCTTGAAATAATCTTCTGGGAGACCTTTTGAAAGAAAGGGCAGTATGGCAACAGTCAGTAGTTATTTGTGAGTTGTTAGCAGATCATTCCAAAAATATAACATTAAAATTTGCCACATATGCAGTCACAACCCAAAAAATCTGAGCTAAATTAGTAAAGTCCACAGCGGAGACTAGAAATGGAAATGGAGATAGTTTGGGATGATACAAATCAGACATTTGTTATTGATACCATGTCACTGCTACTATAATTTTAAAGAACCAGTATATGGAATAAGTTTTAATATTTATATTGGAAAGTGCTTATTGAACTTATTGTTTTGTACTTTTAAAGATTGTATATTATGTGATGTCATGACTTACGGCTGGTATAATAAGCAATTCATTCATTCATGATGCTCCACTCCTGGAGTGGTTCAAGACAAGGAGGGTGGTGGCAAAGAGAAATCTCTTCTCCTGCTTCCTTTCATTGATTAGATTTGCTGCTGAGGCTTGAACAACATCATGTGTGTGTTGAAAGCCTCTAATTACAATACGTAAGTATAAATGCAATGACATAAGTATAATCAAACCACATAAAAACCTCATTAATAAAATTATAAAAAAATTGAAAGTTATAAAATTCCTAAAACGCCATGGAACCTGCTGGCTGGCTATCTGTCATAACAACCATTCAAAGTGTGGGCCACTACTATCAATGATTCATCACATTGGCCATGGATTACTCAGGATCAAAGACTTGTCTGAAGAGCCATGGTTTTAGACTCAGCCAGAAGACCTGAATAGAGGGGGCAAATTAATTTATTTAGGGAGGGTATTCCAGGCCAAGGGAGCCACCACCGAGAAGGCCCTGTCTCTCTTCCCCACCGTGCTTGAGACAGTGGTGGGACTGAAAGAAGGGCCTCCCCAGCAGATCTTAATTCCCACGCCAGTTCGAAGAAGGAGATATTTCCCCCTATGAAGCATCTTGGAGGTTGAGAACTCCTAGAAGGCCCTGCTCTCAGCCCTGTCTCTTTCACAGGTGCGGTTGGTAGAGATGAGGGACAGGGCCTTCTCAGTGATGGCCCCTTGGCTGTGGAACTCCCTAGTGAAATTAGATTAGCACCTGACTTTCAGGAAAAAAGCTAAAAACATGGATGTGGCACCAAGCTTTCAGGTAGTAATCTCTCAGTGCAGTATGTGAATGCGGAATGGTGCAATGACAGTAGGGATAGCCTCAGACTCTGATATTAGATTATGTGGTTTTAATAACTGGTTTTAATGTCTGATATATCTTTAGCAGTTGATTTTAATGTATATGTACATTTGCTGGATATATGTTGGTGTGGCATCAAATTGTGCCTTATATCTTAGCAACTCCGAGTCCTCTTTAGGGTAAAAAGGGCGGGATATAAATATGGCAAATAATGAATGTAATTTTATACCACTTTAACTGCCACGTCTCAATTCTATGAAATCCTGGGATTTATAGTTTGACACTGCCACGTTTTGGCAGAGAATATTATAGGCCTTGTAAAACTACAACGCCCACAATTCCATAACATTGAGCCATGGCAAGTAAAGTGGTGTCAAACTGCATTATTTCTACAACATAGATGCATCCTTAGTCTGCTCCAGAAAGTTGTCTAATACTATAGAGCAGATTTGCAGGAGTCAGAGCAGATTGTGACGGATTGAATTGTGAAGATTGCCCCCTCCTCTGTTTATCCAATGGAAAAACTCCAGTACAACAAAAACCTCCCACTGACATAAGGAATCTGTCTCTTTGCCTGAGGTTTGTGTTGAATCCAACCCAGTGTGGAACAATAAGATAGCAGCAAGTAGAACATATTCCATGGTACACTGGCAAATCTGCATATTTTGCAGTAGAGCAATATGTATTTCTGATTCCATTTATTTAACAATGAGGTAAATTTGTGGTAATCCATAATATAATATGTTTCTGGTTGGACTGACTTGTCTCAGTTCTAGTATATAACATGAATTCTTGGATATAGGATTTTTTTTCTTGCAAGTTTATGCCTTTTCATTGCAGGTGTACGATTGTGATATTGCCTCTGTGATGGCTGAAGTCTGATGCAATTTGAGGTAATGGCAACTTTTTTCTACTTAGGGAAGATACTCATTTGAAGAGAGAACTTAATAGTTGCTGCAGCTTATCATCCGGAAGTGATCTGACAGCTAGAAGTCACCTTCAGTAGAATGGTAAATATTTGAAATATTTTCCTAAATTCACAATCAGCATTGGTGGATCTTGACTGAAATTATTATTTTCGTAATATTTCCATGTAACTTGATTTAATATGCATTAACATGATAAATCCAAGGATATGGTGCCTTTGTGGCTTTTACGTGCTCTCTTTATTTTGTACCCTTGGAAGTTTTTCATTTTACTGGAATACCTTCCGTTTGGCTCAGTATATTTTGAATAGTACAGCACAATGAACAGTATGAATCTGCCTTGAGTTGTAATTGTTTAGGTTTTAACCTAAAGCTGCATCCATAGCAAAGCTATAGAGCTCTTTCCATCTTAGATTTTATTACATCGATATTGTGGCAGAAATGTGTTTAGTGCAATGTTGATACTATCTCCAAATTCATTAGGAAACTAGACAGCTTAGTTTCTGTTCAGCAAAGTGTCTGATGGGATTATAAAGCTAATTTACATTGCAGTGTTTTGTTTTAATTCTGTCTTCATTTTCTTGTACTTACAGTAGATCTTCTCTGAGACTATATTTTGTGTCTCTAGACTGCACTGCTCTGTGGTTTGCAAAATATTTAATGGGAATGGGAGAAAAAGTAATTTTCAACTATTGATATGAAAGTTGTTTGCAAAGAAAAATTACATTCATTCTTTCTGTTTGAGAAGGAAAATAACAAAGTCACCAGCCATATTAACTGGTATACACAGTCTTCTAAATGTTTTGTAGAAACTGTCCATTGTTGAATTCAAGTTTTAATGTATGGTGAACAAGAATTAGAGTTGCAGAATGAGCGAGTTTTGTGTTAAAATGGAAAATTCATTTTTTATTCCATAAAACTGTGAGAGGGGAAAGCATGAGAAACTCAAAGCTTTCAAAGAGTGACAGTGGTATAGATTTAACAATCAACCTCCCAGTCCTCTGTTTGTTATTGAGCAAAGCAAACCAAAATGTAGTGGGGAGTCAAGTGATGCATCACCTCCTGCAGAGTTTGTAAAAGTTACTTTTTTGAATTATAATGTGGAGAATCTTCTACCCAATTTAAGGATTACACTATGTCACATGATTTTTGTTCCTGTGTTATAAATGTCATTTCCTAATTGGTTCTATCATAAAACATGGTAAAAATTATTAAACTGCACAAAGGATAAAATGGCATATTTTCATTAATGAAAATTACAAACGAAGCAACTATAATGAAGGAAATAATAGTACTTCTCTCAGCCACAAAAACAAAGTTTCTGGAGGATAACAACTACTTTCAAAGTAAGTATTGCACAACTTAAACAGGAAATAAAACTTCCAAACCAGGAACAGAACATTTTTCAAATTTTGTTACATAGTCTTGTATAAGTGAGGTGCTCAGGCCTAGACCTCATGGAAATGAAAGGACCTTTGCTCAGTGGATCCCCTGCCTCCTTTGAAAACAGTGTTTTTATCTTGTGGCAGGTAAATATTTTAAAATATAATTGATTAATTTATAGCTTAAAACCAGAAAGCTATTAAGTTGACTCTGAATTAATTGATTAAAATGTATCCATGTATTTGTCCATTAGGCTAAAGCAACAACTATTAAGGAAGCTCTAGCCAGATGGGTAAGTAGGTTGTGTATATGCATGTGTGTGAGATAGATAGTTAGATAGATATAAATATGGATATTCTTTGTTAATTTTTACCATTGGTTCACAATAAACACATAACTGAAGCAAATCCATGTAATACAATGTCTTCACTAAAGTTGCTTTGTTTGAGGTGTTGCTTCTTCTAATTTCAGTTAATATTCACATACAAGAATATGCTGAATTCTGTTCTATGCAGAGAGTAACAGACTCATTGTTTGAAGGATTAGAGACAGAAACCAAGGTGTCATGAGGAGCAATTGGGTTGGTTAAGAGAAAATTGCAAAAGTGAAATACCTGTTTGAACATATCTTCCTCTATGAGCCAGCTAGAAGGTTAAGATCTTCTGGGGCGGCCCTGCTTTTGATCCCACCTCCTTCGCAGGTGCAGGTGGTGGGGATGAGAGACAGGACCCTCTCAGTGGTGGCCCCTTGGCTATGGAACTCTCTCCTGAGTGAAATTAGATCAGCCCCCTCTCTCCTGACCTTTAGGAGAAGGCTAAAGATGTGGATGTGTGACCAAGCATTCAGTGAGTAATCTATCAGTGCAATAAGAAAATATGGAATAGTGTAATGACAGATTGGAATGGCTATGGGCTATGATATTGGATTGTGTGATTTTCAATAAATGGTTTTAGGGTTTTATATGTTTTAATAATTGTTTTAACATATATGTTTTTATTATGGATGTTTTTATGGCATCGAATCGCTGCCTATATATATATAAGCCACCTTGAGTCCCCTACTTGAGAAGGGTGGAGTATTAATATGGTAAATAAATAAATAGATAGAAGAAAATAATGGATTAATAGGAAAATATACATATCCAGCTTAGTATAGAAAATAAGCTTAGTTAAAAATTAGAGTAGAGGAGAAGTAGAAGATAAGAGTGAAATTTAGCCGGAGCAGAGAGATAGAAATTCTTAAAAGCAGAGATTAGAAGCTTGGCGTTGATGCAAAGTGCCCTTGTAAAGACCAATGTAATTAAGGAAAATGTGTTTACTTCATATTTACTTCAATCTACTGCCTAAGTGTTTGAAAGATCTTTTGCCAGCTGCCATGCCTTTTTCATATAATTAGCCTTTTAGACTAATTGTAAGGGAGCCATTTCTTTTCTCTGAGGAGAAAAAAGAGGACATTTACTGTGCTACACAAATGTACCCAAAACACAGCTCTCTTCTCAGAGATGGGTGAGCTAGAGATATGCTGATAATAAGTTCCAGTATCCTTGGAATTGATATTAATTAAATACATACCATATTTGTATCCGGCTGAAGCATTAGGAACTTCTGCTTTGAAAGATGTATGTTATGTAGTGACAGTATTAAGCTATTATTGCATTCGGTTTTTAAAAATAATAAATGGCTGGTAACTGAAAGTGGATGCCCAGAAGGAGAATATGCTATACTCTGCCTTTTTTAGATACATGTTACAAGAGACTTGGCAGTCTCTTGTAACATGCAATTGTTAAATAAATAGCCTTATTTCCATTTGTTGCTCTTATTTTCTTGATAAAAGTGCACGTTTAAATAGATGAATAGAAGAACAATGCTTAGAAAAGTTTGTCATCTGACTGCATATATGAAAAAAAGTACTTGGAATGTGAAAGTTCTGGTATCTTTTTTGTGGAACCAGTAGCTGTAGTTTCCCATTAAACCTTGTTTTAAACATTCGACTGTACTGTATATTCACAGTCCAGTCAAAGCCAAATGATATAATCACTGGCTATGTGACCAGGAAGCTTTTCAGTCCAATCTCTTTGCAAACTGATTGTTCAAGAGCTCTAACAAAGCCTAGATTGCTGTTAACCACAATGCCTGAAATAATCCAGTGGGTTAACAGTAATAATGAATTTACCCATATTCTGGACCTTTTGTAATTTCAGATCACTGTATGGAAAGGCATGAAAGAAATAGGCTTCTTGAAGTGACTGTATTAAAATGTTTAGCATGTTTGAGGAGAGTCTGTGCTGTACATTCTTCACCAGGAGCAAATTGGTAAAAGATTTTATGTGTTCTGGAAATGAGTGAGTTTTCAAAGGGCATTATAGTTATCTTGTCATAGATTATGTAAGCAAGTAGCAAACCAGGTTTTAAAAAAACCATTAGTTCTCAATAAACATTACATATAGCCTATGTGCAAATTATTTTGCAACCAAGTGATAATGATAACAGTTATGTTTAATAATTAGTATTATTTTTCATATACGCAATTGATTGTTTATATAATTGTAATTTTTAAAAAATAAAATATTATCTTGCTTGCTGTTTTTTAGGAAGAAAAAAATGGCCAGAAGCCATCAGAGGCCAAGGAAGTGAAGCTTTATGCCCAGATTCCTCCTATAGAGAAGATGGATGCATCTCTTTCCACTCTTGTTAATTGCGAGTAGGTTCTGTACATTAGAGCACAGAGGAAGATCTACCTTCTGCTTTCTGTGCTACTTCTCCTGTCCTCTTTTTATTTATTTATTTACTGTATTTGTATACCGCCTTTCTCAGCCTATCAGCGACTCAAGGCGGTTTATTTAGATTATTTAGATTTTTTGTGAACGTGGTTTTCTTTTTTTTAATCTTCAGTAATTCTAAGCAAGACTTTGTGTCTCTTTGTTCCACCACATTAATTTCTTCATAAACTCATTTCCACTGCATGAACTCCCAGTTTGCAAACACTTCCTTTTCAGTTACATAATTGCCCATGTTCACATAATTCAAACCTCATTCCAAATCATAGTTATATTAATCAAAATGTGCTTTTAGTTTCCAAATGTACAGTTTGTAGCTGCTTGCTCGTTTTTATTTTCTTTTGCTTAGATTTCCAATCTGTCTGCTGAGTTCAACATTTGCTCAGTTCAGACATCACCTAAAATATACTTGGAATAAATTTTGTCCATATCTTACACAAATTCATTTTAAACATTCTTTCAGATTTTGCTTTGCTGGTCAAACAAGTCATATATTCTCATGTAGGCATCACAATTGAACCAGATATGGGCAAATTGTCACCTTCAGTTACATATTAAAAATTCTCTGCAAGGTCTTCAGACCTTTTGCAATAGTGATGCTTTGCTTTTTACAGTAATTAGTTGCAAGAGTATGGGAGAGGAAAAAAAGAAAATGTCAGAAAGTGAGTGACAACAGGAGACACTTATTTACTTAAGGCATGATCAGACTGAAAGTCAGTTCCATAACAAGTAGTGATGGCTACTCAAAGGAAATCGGAGAGATTCACAGAGAATATGGCTGTTATCCTCTCTTAGCCAGTGTGGCGTTATGGTTTGAGTGTTGGATTAGGACACTAGGAGACTAGGGTTTGAATCCCTGTTCAGTCATGGAAATCCACTTGATGACTTTGGGTAAGTCACATTCTCTCTGCTTCTGAGGAAGGCAAGGAATGAACCCTATGTGAAGAAAGTCTGCTGAGAAACTTCCATAATAGGTTGTTCATAGAGTTGCCATGAGTTGCAAGGGACAGAAAGGCACTCAACAATAACAAAAGTCTATGTCTATTAATAACAAAAACTATATATAATATCTAGTGTCAGGAGTGGTATGCCTCTCAATGCACGTTGCTGGGGGAATCACAAGCAGCAGTGTGACGTTTCCCTGTCATTCTTCTGGGTTTCCTAATCACTTCTGGTTAGCTGCTGTAGGAACAGACAGTTTGGGTAGATGGGACTTTGGGCTGACCAACAAGACTCTCTTCTTGAAAGAGAGGCCTGTTCACTACTGGGGATATTTAAGCTGATATCTCGAAATGGCACATAGGTTATTGTTAAATTTCTTTTTAGTCTATTTTTTTCAATTGCAAAATTCATCTAATTCTGACAGTTCATGTTTCAAATGTGTGAATATTATTGAGAATTTTTCTCTAAAGCAGTCATTTTGTGACTGGCTTTGGAAACTCATTGAAAATCTGAAAGCTTTTACATGAAAGGAATTAGATGTAAAGTTATGAGGAAGATGTGGCATGAGGAAATATTCATTATAAGAAGAACCTTATTGCTTCAGTAATTGTGTTTCTCTTAACATGTTTTTTTTCTTTTCTTTTTTATTTCAAGGAAGTTATCTTTATCTACAAACTGCATTGAAAAAATTGCCAACTTGAATGGTCTAAGTAAGTGATATATGAATAACAAGCTGTCTAGCTGTGTTCTTCTCTCTTTCCCTATGGTACCTGCTTTGAAACCATCCTGGCATCTCTGTAAGGCTAAGCCATAAGATCCACAGTAAGACCCATACTTGGGTTTAACCATTCATCCTCTTTTATCAGTTTCATATTCTGTCCAGTATGTAATAGGTATGTATAAGGTATCGGGTGATTCCTTATATTCTGCATCAAAAGGACTGAAAGATCACATTTTCCAAAATAGCTTATGAACAGACTCTATTTTTACATTTTTTTACTTCTCCTATTTTTAACATAGCTAAATTAAGGATTGGGGAAACAGCTAAAATTACTGAATGAAAGCTTAAGCTGTCCCTGGTTTTGAGACTGCTAGAAAATTATACCGGAAAAAACAAGTTTCTAAAGACCTAGTCACACTTTTCTGTCTGGCAGCCTGCTTGGAATTTGCTACTAATTCTGTGGGGCGAAAATCAACAGATATTCCTGTTACAGAAAAAGAGATCATGAGCGTTAGAAGTAACAGAGGTTCTAACATGGAATTACAAGGCATGTATTATAATATATTGATTTCCATTCATCAATTATGTAAACATCTATAGCTCTATTGCACCATGGAAATCTTTGGAAAGATACCTGATGGTTCATCTACAATGTAGAATTAATGCAGGTTCACACCATTTTAACTGTCGTGGTTCAATTTGTTGGAATACTAGCAAAAAAGGCTAAAGACCCTTTAAAACTATATCCTTTCCTTTTTTATGGCACAGCTGGGCCAATCAATCACTCTTGGGTATTATTTATCAAACTTGTAAGCTTTCATATTGTTTAAAGGGTTACTAGTATAGAGAAATAAGACAACTATTGTTTCTGTTGCAGAAAACTTGCGAATTTTGTCATTGGGGAGAAACAACATAAAGAATCTAAATGGGCTGGTACGTAAGTAAGATGGCTACGGCTTACATTATTGTAGACCCAGTAAGAATAATATCTTTGCTAACAATATTCAAAAGTATAACTGTTGGCGTTTTCCAGTTTGCAACTTCGTGGGAAAGAAGTAAGAACTGTTGATGTATTCTATTTAATATTTTTATTTCGTAAGGATCCATCAACACAACAGGACTTCAAAACATACTTATCTGAAACATTACTGTGTTTTAGGAAGCAGTTGGTGATACTTTAGAGGAACTTTGGATTTCCTATAACCAGATTGAGAAATTGAAAGGGCTCCATGTCATGAAAAAGCTGAAAATTCTCTACATGTCCAATAATCTGGTGAAAGACTGGGGTAAGGCAGAATCTTTGTGAAACATCTTGGTAATGTTTAATGAAATTTTACCAAATAATTTAGGTTAAGTGAGGAATTGATTTCTGAAGTTACAAGAATTACATCGTTTGAAACATGTGTATTCAACCCTTTTAACATCGATGTCCCCAAAATGTCAGATGTACCTCAATTAACTAAATAGGTATTTTCCTGGGGACTACTTCTTCAACAGAAAATTTGATACCAGAGGCAGAAACAACATGGGCAAAATATGGATAAAGTCCTGTACAGTATAAAGTTGGATATTTTTCAGAAAACTGTTAATTAAAAACTAACATTATATGTATGCAAAATAAAACAACCATGTGAAATTTGCTTAGCATGGGTAACCAACACATTTTGAATCTTCTAGAAACAATTTGAATGTTTTTTTCCAAAGCGCATTGATTATTTTTTTTCTCCACCTTTTCTTACAATTTCCATTGTGTTGGCCAACTTTTTTTAACGTTCTGAGAGTAGGCGGTGAAATAGGATTATTCCTGTACTGTTGAAATTCACACATGCTTGTTAAAGAATTCTGGAGGAAGTTGCTGTTTAACTTGCTTGCTGTAGCCAGGCACACATAGAAACTAGTTTTTGCCAGATGAGAATAAACATAAACATACATATTAAATGTATCCTTGTAAAGGATACATATTTCTATAAAATACATATTAAATACACAGGACAGTTATTAAAACACAGGACACGGATTTAAAATGCCACTTCGATCTCCCATTACCAAGCTGGATCTTGCAACACTCCTTTCTAAGGAAATTGACCACTACCTTCCTGAGCCAGCAAACCATCTACTAACAACATCTTTAAGCATTAACCTCTGATTTATTTTATTTATCTCACCTTTTTCTCATTTCAAGGTTCATTGATATGTAGTTATATGCAAAAAGGATGGCATTCTGTGTGTGCTTGATATTCCACAGAGAATATGCCCTTCTCAGGATCTGATTGTAGGATTTTAGTCTTCAAAAAGAATGATAATGCACTTCTGGTTTGGTTTTGTTTCAAATTCTTAACTTTCAATTCTGTCTCTCTGGTTGCAGCGGAGTTTGTGAGGCTGGCAGACTTACCCCTGTTGGAAGATCTGGTGTTTGTGGGTAATCCACTGGAAGAGAAATACTCGGCTGATTCACAGAGTGCCTGGGTTGAAGAAGCAACCAGGCGAGTGCCCAGGCTGAAGAAACTTGATGGTGAGAGCTGGGTAGGAGCCAGGTGGCATTTAACATTTCAGGCAATGCAAAGTGTTATTTTTTTTCTGTAACAATTGGGGGCATATGAGAATCTTTGTGTGTCCAGACATGCAACATTCTTTTTTGAATAAACCTGGATACCTATTACATATTTCTTGTCTGGCAATGATGTCAACATCATGGACATCAGTGGCTCCCAAAGTGATCCATTTAAGGTGGAATCAGGTGTCAAACAGGGATGAGTTATTGCCCCAACCTTATTCTCCATCGTCATCACTATGATACTTCATCTTGTTGATGGGAAGCTTCCCACCAGAGTGGAAATCATCTATTGGACAGATGGCAAGCTAGTTGACCTCAGCAGACTGAAAGCCAAAACCAAGGTCACAACAACATCTATTATAGAACTCCAATATGCTGATTATAACGTAGTCTGTGCATTTAGAAGAAGACCTACAAGCCGCTATAAACATCTTTGCAGAAGCATATGGAAAGCTCGGCCACTCATTGAGCATCGAGAAAACCAAAGTGCTCTTCCAGCAGGCACCAGCCAATCCCTCTGCAATGCCAGAAATACAGCTTGATGATGTAGTGTTAGAAAATGTTGACCACTTCTGTTACCTTGGCAGTCATGTTTCCACAAAAGTCAACATTGACACTGAAATACAACACCGCCTGAACTCTTTAAGGGCAAATTTTTCTGAATGAAGCAGAGAGTGTTTGAGGACCGGGACATCCATAGGCAGACCAAGGTGCTTGTTTATAAAGCTATTGTCCTCCCAACCCCACATACATCCGCAAAATGTTGACTGACTACAGATGTCATACTCAACTCCTAGAACGATTCCATCAGTGTTGCCTCTGAAAAATCTGCAAATCTCTTGGGAAGACAGATGGACAAATGTCAGCGTGCTTGAAGAAGCGATGCTCTTATGCCATCAACTCCACTGGACTGTTCACATTGTCTGAATGCCAGAACACCGTCTCCCAAAGCAGTTACTATACTCCCAACTCAAGAACCGAAAACGGAATGTTGCTGGACAGGAAAATAAATTTAAAGATGGGTTTAAAGCTAATCTTTAAAACTGTGGCATAGAGACTGAGAACTGGGAAGCCCTGGCCCTTGAGCGCTCTAGCTGGAGGTCAGCTGTGACCGGCAGTGCTGTGGAATTCGAAGAGGCATGAATGGAGGGAGAAAGGGAGAAACGTGCCAAGAGGAAGGTGTGTCAAACCAACTCTGATCAGAACCACCTTCCACCTGGAAACCCATGTCCCCACTGTGGAAGAATATGTGGGACGAGACTAGGGCTCTACAGTCACCTACGAATTCACCGTCAAGACCTTACCTTTGGAAGGCCATCATACTTGGACAACGAGGAATCACCTAAGTAAAAGTATGTCTTGTCTGGCATTGCTTGACAATATGTCTCTGGAAAAGATTCTCCCGTGGTAATGAAACAATTTGTAGTTAGCACTGTGGGAAAAGAGGAAGCTAATAATATCAGCTTGAATGAATATGTGTATCTTCCTTTACATCCTGAATTCTGACTCTCATTACGCTTTCAAACTGTTTCTTGTCTTCATGGCAACCCTAAATGTCTGTGTTGCTGTAATGCTGCGTGATGTTTCACAAGTGTTTCAGTTAATCCGCTTATTTGTTAGTATGTTGTAATGGAATATGAGAATATTGGTATTACTAGTGATTTTTAAAAAATATCTCTCCCTTTTATTTCTAGGGATTCCAGTTATTAAGCAGGAGGAAGGCGAAGAAGGAGAAAACTAGCAGAACGTTTCTTTCTTTCCCCTTAAATTATTGATGTATCTCCAGCAATTATACACTAGGCGAAGCTTTTATATAAAAATGACTTTGAAGAAAAGCTTGGGCAACCTTTTAATTGACTCATTTCCATGTTCTCCTTCCTCTCCCAAAGAGTTACTTACCAAAATGAGGATGCCAATTACGAGAAGCATCTGTCCTTTTTTTATTTTTTACTTTTTTTATTTAATGTGTGATTTTATGACTACTTGTGTTCCTACTTATTAGTATGTTTGCTTAGATTTTGTTTTAAAAGTAATTTGAAAAGTAGGGGTCAAGGAAACAATGTTTTAATATTAAGAGTCTTTTTATCAGGTACTTTTTTTTTTATCTCTCTCCGATGAAAAAAAACTGAAACTTGGTATGTTTAAATGTTTGTTGGGGTGTCTCTCATCCTTTTCTTCCCATCTGCTCTTCTAATTACAACCATGTAGCCCCTTGGTGGTGCAGCGGCTTAACCACAGAGCTGCTGAACTTGCAGACCGAAAGGTTTGAGGTTAGAATCCAAGGAGTGGGGTGAGCTCCTGCTGTTAGCCCCAGCTACTGCCAACCTAGCAGTTCGAAAACATGCAAATTTGAGTAGATCAATAGATACTACTTCTGCATTAAGGTAACAGTGCTCCATGCAGTCATACTGGCCACATGACCTTGGAGGTGTCTACGGACAATGCCGGCTCTTTGGCTTAAAAATGGAGATGAGCACCACCCCCAGAGTTAGACATGACTAGACTTAATATCAGGGGAGAACTTTCGAGTTCATTTTTTCCAGTGAAGAAACAAAGTTGATGGCGTTAATTAAAAGCAAAGCATGTCACTAGCTGAGAGCCCACAATGTATAATATTAAGCTGCATTGGGATCTTAAATGTTGACATGTAGCAGGCCTTTTTATATATAGGGCTAGATAAAAGAGTGAAGGCAATATATTTGTTGTAGACAACGTACTTCTTTCCTAAACACTAGTTTGATTTGATGTGCTACTTGAGTTTTTCTTCACATACTTTAAGGAACAAGAGACTCTTGGGCCAAACAAAGGCTTATACTGTTGATGTGACTATTGCTGAATGGCAAAGTTCTTCATCATTCTGGAATTCGAGTAATCTAAGGAGGGTAGCAGCTGTCTAAAGAGGCATAAGAGAATAAGCGTCAGTTCCAGGGTTGATGAATGACAGCTGAAGACATTGCAGAAAGGGAAGAGAGGTAATGCTTTATCATTTCATTTCACTTAGAGGAAATCAGCCTGTTTTTCTCTCACCTTTCCCTGAATAGAGTTTTTCTTCTGTAATGCTAAACCTTTTAAAGACCTAAAAACAGAGAAGAGAGAAATGTGGCATTGTTGTGTTGTCGAAGGCTTTCATGGCTGGAATCACCAAGTTGCTGTGAGTTTTCTGGGCTATATGCCCATGTTTCAGAAGCATTCACCCACATCTATGGCAGGCATCCTCAGAGGTTGTGAGGTTTGTTGGAAACTAGGCAAGTGGGGTTTATATATCTGTGGAATGTCCAGGATGGAGGAAAGAACTCTTGTCCGCTTAAGGCAAGTGTGAAATGGGAAAAGGAAAGAGGGGATGAGGTAGATAACGCTTTAGTTGTATGATTTGTTTGTGTTGCATGCATAGAGCATTCCTTTGAATCCAAGGAATACCAGTAGGAGTGGCAAACTGACATAGGTCAATTCTGAATTGCTCTGCAGAACCGAAGAAAGTGCTTTAGTGCTTGCTTAGCAGCAGAACCAAGAGTAGTCTACTCAAGTCAAAAAGAAAAGGGTGTTGAAAACCCTGATGGAAATCGATGTGGGAAACATTAGAGCTAGACTACATTGACAGAAGTCGGAAGACAAAGGACTTAAGATGGAAGTGACGTAAGTTTACTGGAGTTGTGACTGATGATCCCCCATAACTCCATAACAAAGCAGAGAACAAAAATTGGCCACCTTGATTAGCATTGAATGGCCTTCAGCTTCAAAACCTGGCTGCTTCTTGCCAGGGGTAATCCTTTGTTGGGAGGTGTTAGCTGCCCCCGATTGAGTCTTGTCTGGAATTCCCCTGCTTTTTAAGTGTTGCATCTTATTTACTGTCCTGATTTTAGAGTGTTTTAATACTAGTAGCCAGATTTTGTAACATTCAAAAAGCAGGGGAAATTCAGAAATGAAACTGAGGGCCAGCTAACACCTCCCAACAAAGGATTACCTCAAGCAGTAACCAGCCAGGATTTGAAGCTGCAAGGCCATTCAGTGCTAATCAAGGTGGCCATTTACAACAGTCACACTTGCCTCAAGCAGACAAGAATTCTTCCTCCCACCTGGACATTCCACAATTATATAAACCACACTTGCCTTGTTTCCAACAGACTCCTCAAACTCTGACAATGCCTGCTGTAGATGTGTCAGGAGATAATGCTTCTGGAACATGGCCATAAAGCCTGAAAAACTCACAGCAACCCTGTGGCATTATTGTTTGCCCAAGGCAAATATCTTCTCTGGGTTCTTTGCACTTAATTTGACTCCGACAATCAGGTTCGTTAGTAACGTGTGGTACAAAATCATCAAAATGAAGTGCCTGAGGGTGCAATCCTATGTAGATTTTCTTCAGGGTGACTCCCTTTGACCTCAGTAGGACTTCTGAGTAGACAGGTGTTGGGTTGCACTGGCCGATGGAAACTGTCTGTTTTCCATGCACTCTGATAATACTTTGGCTTTGTACACAATAGTTATCCTTACAGTGTAGCAGCTGCATAGCATCTGGTTACTCATATGATACTCTACCACACTATTCAAAATCAGTGCAATAGGCATTTGTCAGTCTCCTTTGTTGATTAGGTTACTTGCAAGTCCCCATCCCTTTAAGTCCAGAATTCCTTTATGATTTGGGGACTTGTTACTTTGAAAAACATTTCCCTCTTTTGTTTTCTTTATCTAAAATTTGTCGACTTCTATGAAGAAATTATTTTTTACTTTTATTATATTAATCTCCTTTAAAAGAATTGGGCAGTTTTACACTTCGGGGAAGCCTAAGCATAATTTTAAGTCAATGGGAAAAAAATGAACTATGTTTGAAAGGCAAAAATAAATTTTAGAATTAACTTATTGTTCTTATAGCACCAGCATGCACATGCCATTAATTGGTTTCTCCAAGGCATAAAGTATTTACTTCTATAACATATATTTATATTTCATGATAATTATTTCTACAAATCTTTATAAGTAAATTCCTTATTTTTAAAGAAAGATATAATAATAAATCAGGCTTAATGCCTGATGTTATTTTCCCAAGGGTAGATCTATTCTAATCTTTTGCCTGTGTATCAATTAAGCCTCCAGCTCAGAATACACTTACTAGTAAGGACACATGCAAGAGTGTTTGTGGTACGTACAAATTTGAGACTATCAGGCTAAAATTTTATAAAATAGAAAAATAGTCATTTCTTTATTTTCTCTTTGAAGTCACCAGCTAATATATGAAAAGGAAGGATAGTAAAATATATGCATCGATAATCTTTACAGTTATGGTCAAGACCGATAATTGAAATGATGTAAGTAGTGCAGAAAACATGGTAATCTGACTAACCAACTCTATTTAATTTTTTTAAAGTTCAGCTATAGAATTCTGAAGATATATTATGTATACACATACACACACACACACTGTAATTTCAGAAGTATTGGTTAGATGTATTGCCACTTGTGCATAGACATACTTAGCAAATGAGATGAACGCTGTTTGGATAAAGGATGGTATCTCTATAGCAGGCATGGGCAAACTTTGGCCCTCCAGGTGTTTTGGACTTCAACTCCCACAATTCCTAACAGCCTCAGGGCCCTTCCTTTCTTCCCTCAGCCGCTTAAGCTGAGGTTTATTGTTTTATAATACTCTTTTGTTGAAGCCAATTGGGTCTCTAGTTCTGCTTGCATTGTGGAGATAGGACTGTTCAAAAACTTGAATGGTCTTTTAACTTTAATCACAAAATAGTACACTTTCTGGAAAATGATTGCATATGACTTTGTGAAGTGCTGTGAAGGATGTAACATAAGAGCAACACAGATGCATGGATTTGCCCTTTAATTAGCAAAGTGAGTTTATTTAAGTCTTGGTGCTAAGCTTTCTCAATGTAACATTCTTAAACTCCAACTGACAGATGGTGTTTTTTGAAGATTAGCTTGTAAAGTGACAAATTACTCTTCAATCCAAATTCTTTTTGTTGCTTGAGCTGAATTGACAACTGTTCATAGAAAAGATGGCCATAGTGCCAGTTGCGTATATTTGGTTGTTAGTCCTGTTTTATTGGAACTGAGGTGATGAGAGATGGCTAAAATAGAAACTCCAGATAGCTCATAATCTTCTGTATAATACTGAGAAACAAAACAAAATACACATTTCATTTGTCTTTCAGCATGAGGAGTTTTTTTTTTTAAATCCATTGGCCAGCCTTTTCATTCAGGTTGATAATGATAATATTTTTTAAATGTAAATTTAATTTTGGTAGAGAAATGTTGTGTGAAGATAGTGCTGAGGGCCCTTCAACAAACAACCTGTTGTTGCTGTTGTGCTGGGGGCCCTTCACCCAAACCTGCATTTCATTTGACTCGAGTTTCTCCCTAGTACTAATTATAATGCTTCTCCATATCGTGTATACTCTTCTTGATAGAAAAGAATGGACTTACATTTTAAATAATGTTGAATTGTACTTTGTGTTCTTCCTCACATAAACATTTCGAGAAAATTGTTGAAATATGAAAGATTTGTGTTGGGATTGATTTGTGTTAAGGAAAAGTTGTACAAAGTTAAAAAGATGACTGGTGAAAAGGTGCTGATGTGACGCAAGTTTAGCTTATAACAAAATAAGGCTTTGACAACTAAAATAAAAAGACATACAGGCTGTTCTGTGAGAGGAAGAGAAAAAAACTCCCAAGTAGTGGATTGAAGATTTCTTCAGAATACTGAATGCAGTGTAGATCACATTTTCTACAGGTACAAGGATATATTTAGTAGTTTATCATAACTATTGTGAAAAGATTGATAGTTGACTACATCTATGCAAATACAGTAGAGTTTCGCGTACCCAAC